AATATTTAGATATACAGTGACGCAGATTTGAGAAAGTTTCTATGAAGACAGCAATGAAAAATGTCTGCAGTAAATATAAAAGTACAAGTTTTATACGTAACAATTGCTTGGCAATATTATTGTTATACAAGAGCACCAGCCTTCATCAGAGTCAGAGTTGTAGCAGCGATAAGGGCAGGTTGACCTGGCATCCCTGATCAGACACGTATTCTACAGAATGCAATAAAGACGCATCGCTAAATCTTATTTTACCTAAACAATGTATCACATGTACTTCCATCACGAGACTGAATGTACCGCAGCATCATTTTGAACCTGACGACCCCCACCTACCGCACACGCACACACCTTAAATATAGGCCATGACATTGAAGAACAGTACCGGGTATTTACACATCCCATTTCTGTGCACCAATAGAGAACAGTCACATGGTCTGTAAGTTCATGACGTCTGGACCATTCTGTCATTTAAAACTAAAACAACTGACATTTTGCGTTTCTACTCGGGGACTAAACAAGTGATATTTGTGCTCAACAGCTGTTTTAAGTTACAGCATTCATAATCTGTGTTGAAAGAGGGTAAATGTTCTTGGCTTGCTCTGTATGAATTCATATGATATCCTCTGGAACACTCGGGTTTGTTTCCCTACTAGTTGCACACCTACTCCCTTAAACTATGTTGGTGGAGGTGGGTGTTGGGGGTCTTTGCCCCTGTGCCAGTGGTGTAACATTTCTCTGCATTTAGTTAGAGTCACACATGACTCGGCTTGGGGCCCTAGCTTTGGACCAGGGGTGTCGGGTTCTCCCACTGTTTCGCAAAAGGGAACAGCAAAGGCGGCGAACGAGTGGTGTGAGGAAGCTGGGGGAGGAGGGGGTGTCTAGTTGTGGAGCAGATATTTTTCCACTGAGGTTTTTTGGTGAAGCCTCTCAGTCGTGGAGGCCATAGAACAACACTCCCCCATTGGTCACACCTCCCCAAATGTTCATGTGACTGCACCAATGTTGCTAACTCAGGTACCACCGCCTAAACTTAGCCTGCACCTGTCGCCTTCTGGGTAGGTGGTGGTGGTGGGGATTAGTCTTTGTTGTGCATGACAGACGGGAATCAGGAGGGAGTGAGGGGGTGTGTGGGGTGAGCTGAGGTGTGCGACCTGTTTGGCATGTGATCTAAAATAGAAGTGGATTTAAGACCGCAGGGACAGCAGACAATCGTATCACACAAAATGAGTCTCTTTGATGCAGACGAGACATTTTGTCTCACGGTGCTGGACTTAAAGGGGAAGCTGTGATCCTGACCTCCATGAAGATCACAATAATCAGTGTTGTATCGGCTGATTTCAGACTTCTAAAACAACTAAAACCTCCAAAAGTTCACCGCAGTTCAGCTAAATGTTAAAGTGTAAAATGATAGAGATACTGATTGATCAATGAGGCAGATTTTTGACGAACTGAGATGTGGCTGTCCATACAGCGGACCAATTGCTCCTCACAGTTCCAGGAACTCGTCTTAAGCACAAAGGTGACAGGGCCTTCTCTGTAGCAGGACCAAGACTTTGGAATGAGTTGCCTCTGCTTGTCAGACAGGCCCCCTCCCTCTCAGTTTTCAAATCCCATTTAAAAACTCATTACTATTCAGTAGCTTTCAACACCAGAGGATCTGTGTTTTGAACCTGTACGCTCCACACTGGTTTGTCGTCATATTTATTATCTGCATCGTTTTTATGTCGATATTTTTGATCTACTTCATTTTATATATTGGTTCGTGTGTTGTCTGTTGTTCTGTCTGTACAGCACTTTGGTTGGCCTTGTAGCTGTTTTAAGTGCTCTATAAAAAAATGGTATGGTATCTTTAGACCAGGGGTTCTCAAACTTTTTGGGAACAGGGACCCCCTCATAACCCTCGTGTTTATTAAATAATTTTCAATTTGTCTCTTTAATGCAGTGGAAATATTTGTGTAACAAAAATACTTAAGACCTAATCTTTAATACTGTTAACACAAACTGTGTTTTTCCCATTATGGAGTATGCTGTTTGTGGAAATCAGTTTGTTTGGTGTCTCCTCAGACTGACGAAGTCCTTTGGATAAAGGATGAAATGTCTCAGCTAAAAAAAAAGAAACTGTCCAGATGAACTGACTGAAACATTGTTGGAGTTTTACCTGGATTATTGAGCATGAACTTTGGAGTGTTAATACAATTTTTATACTTTTACAAATGGTGTATTTTTCATTCAAGACACACTTAATTAACAGCATTTTTCATTTCAACTTCTAAAAATTACAGTTTTTAGAAAATTAACAGTATCAAAAACTACTAAAACTTTACCTACTCACTTTTTTTCTTCTTTCGGCTTCTCCTTTCTTCAGGGGTCGCCACAGTGAACTAAGTCCAAGAAGATTTAGCAATTATTTTTACACCGGATGTCCTTCCTGAGGCAACCACAGACCACAGAGCTACCACAGCCCTCTGTGTGGAGCAGAGAGCTGCCAGCAGAGGGTGCCCGGGGGGAGCAGATGGTGGGGGTTAAGGGTCTTGCTCAAGGGCCCAGAGTGGGGCAAATGATGGTGGAAGCAGGTGTGGGTGCTTTTCCTCTTATCTGAGCAGCAGAACCTTTTCAGTGTTTGTGAATAACATACAGTCTAAGACCACTCCGTTACTGTATGGTGTTCCTCAGGGTTCAGCCTTAGGTCCTATTCTGTTCCTTTTATACATCAGCCCCCTCAGAAAGATTATCAGTAGCTTCAATAATGTGTCTTACCATTTCTATGCTGATGACATTCAACTGTACTGCTCCTTCTATGACTCAGAATTACACAAGTTAGCTGAATTAGTAAATTGTGTTTCCCATATTAAGGCGTGGCTAGCTAACAACTGCCTTCAGTTAAAGTCTAACAAGACTGAAACCCTGATCATTGCTCCTGAACAGAAAGTTTCTTGGATCAAGCAACACCTCGGTTCTCTGAGCTCCTCTTCTCAGCCGAGCCTCAGAAACCTTGGTGTTCTGTTCGACCAATCAATGTTGTTGGAAAAACATTCAAAGCTTCTGGTAAAAAAAAAACTGCTTTTATCATCTGCGAAATATTTCTAAACTGAGGGCAACGTTATCCAAATCAGACCTGGAGATGATTATTCATGTTTTTATTTCTTCTCGTTTAGATTATTGTAATTCCCTTTTTACTTGTTTTAACAAATCTGCCATCGCTCGTCTCCAGTTGGTCCAGAACGCTGCCGCGAGGCTTTTAACAGGAACTAATAGAACATTACACCAGTTCTATCTTCTCTTCATTGGCTGCCTGTTGAATTTAGAATTAATTCTGAAATTTTAGTCTTAACTTTTAGAGCTTTAAATGGACAGGCCTCCCAATACATCACTGAAATATTGATTCCTTATTCTCCAGCCCGCACCCTTCGGTCTTCAGCGCTGAACCTCCTAAAGGTCCTTAAGACCCGGTTTAAAGCTCAGGGTGACGGATCTTTTCAGGCCCCCAGACTGTGGAATATCCTGCCCCTGTCTCTTCGTGTGGCCGTCTCCATTAATTCCTTTAAAAAGCAGCTCAAGACACTTTTATTCAGACAAGATTTTAGTTAAATGTTTTATTTAATGTTGTTATCAGCTGTTCTTACTGCTTTTGTCTTATTTTAACCCTGTATTTTCCATCCATCCATTCATTATCTTTACCCGTTTATTCCATTTTGGGTCACGGGGGTCGCTGGTGCCCATGTCCAGCAATCACTGTGCGAGGGGCGGGGTACACCCTGGACAGGTCGCAAGTCCATCACAGGGCCACATAGAGACAAACGAGACAAACAACCATTCACTCTCTCTCACACCTAGGGACAATTTAGAGTTACCAATCAGCCTAACATGCATGTTTTTTGGTCTGTGGGAGGAAACCGGAGTACCCGGAGAAAACCCATGCATGCACGGAGTGAACATACAAACTCCACCCAGAAGGCCCCTGGACCGGGGTTTGAACCAAGGACCTGCTCGCTGAGAGGCAGCAGCTCTACCAGTTGCGCCACCGTGCTGCCCACCCTGTATTTTGTATTTCTGTAAAGCACTTTGGGATTGTATCTATGAAAAGTGCTATACTTTGTACTTTACATCCTCCCACATGTTGATGTTGGTGGTACCGGGAGTTGAACCAGTGATCTTCTGATCACAGGCCCACCTTCTCTAACCTCTACGCCACCACTCCCTTAAAACTTTACTTATTCACATAATGAACATAAACGTTTTGCCACTTCTTCAAATTATAACAGAAAATTCTACATAAACCGAACAGAATCATAACCAAGTCATACCAAGTAACGGGGCTTAATCTGTAAAGTGATTAGTGGGGGCGTCTGGGGGTCATCCCCTAGAAAATTTTGAATAACGTAGATGTGATTTCCTGCATTTTGGTGTATTTTAACGGGTTGTTGAACATCTACGTGCTTGTAAATATACACATATATTTTTTGTTTTTTTTTTCCCTAAGGGGCTCCGGGGACCCCAGTTTGAGAACCACTGTTTTAGATGGTAAAAATCCACTCTGGAACAGGCCTCAGTTCTCCTTTATTCTGTAAACTGGGGTCACTCGGCTGTTGAATCCTGCTTCAGTTTGAAAATAGTTTGATGCAAAGCATTTTGCGAACCGTCTGTAATGAAATGTAACAAATAAATGAACTCACGAAACACTAAAAAATTAGAGCTGGAAAACAAACCCAAACCCAAAGTTAGTCTTATTGAAGGATCTTCATTTTAACCAATAATTCTGAACTCCAGTTACAACTCTAAATGTTTCACATCATAATAAAAAGCAGATCTGTCTCTGGTCCTGTCAGGGTTTCTCCCTGAACATGTGCTCTCTCTCCTTCAGCCAATGACAGTTAAGGTCAACAGAGCTTCCTGCCCGTCTCGACCTTAAGTTCAGGTCTCTGTGGAGCAGCTGCTCCTTCTCTCTCCCCCTGTGCGCGTGCGCGTGCGTCACTCTATATGAACGTACAACAGAAACTTTGAAGAAGAGAGGACAAGCTGCGGGACACGTTTGTCCCTCTTCTTTTTTTATATTTACAGGGCTTCAGTTTCTTTCTTTCTTTGTGGGAATAACTCGATCTGCTCGGTGTTTGATTTGGAGCTGAAGCTCTCCAAGGCTCCATTTGGGACCGACAGGGTGCCTGGAGGTGTCAGAGTCATGCCGGCCGGGTTTCAGCAGCTCGAAGGGGAGGTAAAGTCTTTACATGTGTTTAAATGTTTGTTTAAACGCGTTTGGCTCAGCAGTGCGCACTTCATCAGGATCCGTTTTACGCACGGGGCATGGCGCACAAAAACACTTGGTGGGATCATTTGTGAATCAAGAGTCCCAGTTGGCCTCGTAAAGTCCAGTAAATAGTAGCAAATACTCACTGGCTGACAAAAGAAAAACATGTTTAATGTCACAGAAAGTGAGGTTGAGCGTATTTTTTCATTTAGGAGACGGATCTTGAGAACATGAAGATCCAGATTTACAGATCCCATGTTTTATAATCAGACAGTTAGACTATTTATTTTTCTTCGACAGATTTCAGATCAGTTTTGATCATTTCAGCTTCCCATCAGGGTGAACTTTTGTCTGTGATGTTGTCATGGCAACGGTTTCCGAGGCTGCTCCACTAAACTGAAGACAGACAAGTTATATAAAGTTATATTTAGCCAAGAGGGAGGAAAAAAGTGCAATTCTGTGGGCGTGCACTTCACGTGATGAAATTAATTATTTTCTGTTTACACATTCTTAAAAATAATAATTTAATTAATTAATTAATTAATTAATTAAATTTGACCTCAAGTGTAGAAAACACGCGCTCATCATGTTATTGTTTATTAAACATAAGCAAAGCCAAAATAGAAAAAAAGCTGTGTGTGAAACTCTGAGTCCTCCTGAGCTGCTTCAAGAGGATTTAAGAGGTTCATCTTCTGCTGCTGATCAGATGTATTGATGAACTAACTGATCATCGTCAGTGTGATCACAGCAGGAGCTTCATCAGTTTGCTGCTCTGGAGCATACGCAATGCCAAGATGGAAAGACGTCAGCAATGCCCTTATAGATGCAGCTGTTGCTGTCAGTTAATTTATGAAAGGTCAAAGGTCATTTACAAACTATTTAAAGTTCATAAAGATCATCAACAGGTGGAAAACGTTAAAGATGGCTGCCAATCTTTTCAGGGAGTAGATTCACCCCCTGGTCAGACCGTGCAATGCTCATGGAGATAGCAAACTCCAAGAGCTCCGTCTCAGACTCTACAGGCTTTCAGTTAGCAGGTCAAAGGTTAAAGTTCATGAGAGGAGATTTAGAAGAGGACTGAACAAGTTTGACTGATTTTGAATGAGTTTCTAAGAGAAAACATGGCCGCCATCAGATTTACAAAGATCTGAATAAAACACAAGACTTTTGGAACAATGTCTTTTGGACAGTTGGAACCTAAGGAGAAACGTTTACCCATAATGCACAGCGCCATGGTCGGAATGATCTGGGCTTGTTCTGAACTTTGCGGTCATTGAGTCGACCGTGAACTCCTCTGTAGATCAAAGTATTCTAGAGTCTATCTATCAGCTTTGGACCAAACTGGGCCATAAAATAAGACAATGATCCCAAACACAGCAGCAAATGTACAACCGAACGACCCAGAAAAATAATGCCATATTTTTCAGAATATAAGGCGCACTTAAAATCCTTGAACTTTCTCAAAAATTAACAGTGAGCCTTATAATCCAATGTGCCTTACGTATTAATTCTGGTTGTGCTTACTGACCTTGAACCGATTTTATGTGGTACGGCGCTCAAAAATCTGTCAAAATGAACTTGCTTCGCCTAATGCGCCTTATAATCCGGTGCGCTTTATAGTCTGAGAAATACGATAATGAAGGTGTTGCAACAATCACAGTCCAAACCTCGGCTGAGCAGAAACAAATATCTGCAAAACAATAAACTGAAGCAACGCTGTAAAAAAAGAGTGGGCCAAATTTCCTCCAAAACAATGTGAGAAACTGATAGACCCATATGGAATATATTTTGAGTTGGTGGTCCTAGAAGCTGCTGGGTTATGATTCTGTCTTCTTTTGTTTTTGTTCTATAAATAGTGACCCGGTTGAATCTGTTGTGGTTTTATACACTTGGGGTTAGTTTTGAATAATTTCAGCACATGGTAAAGACCTGATGGTTCTATGTCCTCATATAAAGGGAGTGAACTTTCTTTACCCCCATAGTTCTAGGCATCATAGTTTCATTGCATTTATCTACAGGCATATAAATGTTGCATTAATCCCACACAGATTACTACACAATGCTGTGGAGTGATGTGACCTGTTATAATTAGCCTGAAGCGTGGGCAGATTAGTTCTCGGTACTGAAAATATTAGCAACAGCAGTCAACTGTGCCCGCAGTGAAATGTAGCCCAAAGCTAACGAGGCATGGCGTCTTTTGATGTTTTACCTTTTCTACAAGGACACCCAAATAGAGGCTGCACCCTTCTGTTTTGGAGTTTGACTGCTAAACCGGCTTCACCCAGAGACTCAACACAACAAGGTCAAGACACGGCAGTATGGACTCATTTGGACATTTTGCTTGGGTTTATGAGTCAGAATAATATAAAAGACTAACACAGAGGTGTGTATCAAACATACACACCAACTTAGAGTCTTATCGGAACAAAAATATGATTAGTTAGATACTATTATTGCCTAAATATCCTTCTTAAACGCACTGAGTTTGTCCAGGTCCACATAAAAATGTCAAACTTTCAAAAAGTCTTGGTGTATTTTGTGTGGAGTATGATCTTGCCATTGTATGGTGTATTTTTTTGTATTTTAACTCTTTGCCAGACCCGTATGTTAATTTCCTATTTGTCACCGTAGAGACAGATGCTCAGGGGTATATGGAGCAAAATGGTCTCAAAAGCCACCTTGAACGCATCATCTCATTTGTGAATCTGGTGCGGTAAGAACATCTCAGAACGTCGTAAGCACAGCTGGCGATAGGTGCACGCACATTTTCCAATTTGTACGCGTATTATATTTGTAAATAATGTTGTACGCATATACATCTTGCTCTACGAGTTCGTGAATTTTTTTGACTCCAATTTCGCTCCATACTGATGGGAGACTGGCGGGTAGCTAAAGTTCAGGCGAGGTTTGGACGTAGACGGCTGTGACAGGATCAGTTTCACACACTTTATGTTAGCCAAGAGTGTGTCAGCGTGGGCACCTGTGTGTTGTTGCAGTCAAACCATACTAAACATTTAAAGCTCAAATATGGTGCTCTGAAGATGATTTCAGACACTTTCAAGTCCTTTATACTTTGCTTCCATGGAGCCATGCAGGCTTATTTGTATTTTTTCTTCTTCTGGCTTTCTGAAGGTTTTCTGTGTTTTGAATTTTAGACCAGTCATTGTAGATGAACATACGTAATATGCCCTAAAGTTTTAGGATTAAAATACCAGCAGATAAATAGTATCTAAAAGTCATGAATTTGGGAAAAAAACAAGAAAATGTCTAGGCTAAGCTACTGATGTTTACCTCCTGTAGGACAAATTTTCAACTAAAAATGTTCTAAATCAGCTCATAGGTAACAAGAAACTATATTATTTACTCTTTCAGACTGTTATTTTTGGTACAACTCATAAAGTGAAGTAAAGAAATTAAAACAAAACCTTTTGTCAATGCTCTTTTGCTCTATTTGTGGTAGGCTGCCAGTATTAAAGCTACTAGCTAGGTGGCTAATCGCTTGTACTTATGCTACTTACATTCTAAAAAACTTATTTTGTTAGTGCTAAAATAATTTGTTTTGGTTCAAATTGTGTTATTGTTAGTATTTTTTTACTAATTCAATAAAACAAATGGGAACAAATGGCATTTTCCAGTTGCTATTATCAATGTTTCTAGCTGAAAAGTTACTAGCTAGGTAGCTAGCTCTTAATTAGCTAAAAAATGTGATTAAACTGGTTCTTTGTTTTGTTTTGTTTTCTGTTATGTGTGAACAAAACACTGCTTCATCCCTCAAGTTTGTCTCTTTTTTTTTTACATTAATTATTCACAAGTGAAGTGACTTGCAACAACATTCCTCTGAAAAGATTAAAGTACTACCAGACAGAAAATGAGTAAAGTGCAGGCAAAGTAAAAAAATATATAAAAAACTTTGAGAGGACCTTTACAAAGTCAGAGGACATACTGATCCAGAGTTCTTAAAAAATAATACAAGAAAGCTTGTTTCTTATTATAAAATAAAGAACAAAGAGTACTTAACAGTTCCCAACACTGTTCCTTGAGGAACACCATCCTGCATGTTTTAGTTGTTTTCCTGCTGAAGCACACCTGATTCAGTGATTTAATTACTTCCTCTTGTTCTGCAAAAGCCTGTTAATCACCCATTTATTAAGATCAGGTGTGTCTTAGCAGGAAAACATGCAGGATGGCGTTCCTCAAGGACCATTGGGCACCCCTGCTTTAAAGTACTGTCTTTATTGTTAATATTGTGATACGAGGACAGTTAATATGCTGTGATAGGATATTATTAGCACGGATCTTTTTATGTTGTTCATGTTTTCTCGTGTGTTTGCACTCCAGGCGGTGACTGGAACCCTCGCTCTGTCAGTCTTCACCGCTGTTCTGGGATCTGTGGCGTTTGGATATAACATCGGAGTCATAAACGCCCCTCAAAAGGTAAAAAAATTGTTCTAAATCGGTACAATTATGTACAAAAGTACCTACAATTACTTCATAAAATGCCAAACAGACGCCTGCTAGTAGAGCTTGCATATAGGACACAAATGAATATTTAACTGTCATCTGAAACCAAATATATCCACAACTATTATTCATCGTGTTATTGTTTCTCGGCTCAAACAACCAAAACTTCAACTTTTCAGTAGATACCACGATGGGTCTGTGTTTCTCTGTTTATCCATCAACTTTTGTTTCTGCAGATCTTTTTTATGGTGGTGTGCTTGACACAGCAAAACTACCATGCTGCCATATTTACAACCCCCAACATGGGGGGGGGGGGGGAATACCTGTTGCATAACTGTGATGCTTCTTAGTTTTGTCATCTAAAGCAAAGAAGACACATTCAGTGATGAAAAGTTATCAACGCGTTTAAATATGCCAACGCATTTCGGGAAACAGAGTAAATTATGTCTGTTTGTGGTAGAATAAAGCGTTTTCACAAAACACCTCCTGAGGTATGGGGACACTTGTTGATCTCGTCTTGTTGATGCTCTTTTGCACCACAAAGCGAGGTAGTAACAGAGGCGAAATGGTCAACATTCGAAAAGCTAAGCTTTGCGTCTCAATAATGTGATGCTATACCGTTGTGACCAACTGAATGTGGGATTGAACAACAACAAACAGATTTATTACCGAGGGCACATCGATTATGACGCACAGCAACTTTGAATTTAGTTTTTGACAAAATGAATTGCTAAACTGGGTTAATTTGTCATGTTTTGAAATCTATACGAGGGAGACATCCATCACGCGTTTATTGCGTTTCGCTCCATGTCAGTGTAGCCGAGTTCTGCCCCACAACACTTTTGTTTCAGCGATGCTCACTTCATTTCTACAAGTTCACGTCTGTGCGAGACGTGGCACCACCTGTGATGTATGAACGGCCAGAGGCAGCATAAAGACGAACTGGTCTTTTGAGGCCATTTCGCTGAACTGTTTTGTGAAAGAGCCTAAATAGCCTGACTCTCCAGCGGGACAGAAGTGAGTTTAATGTGAATTTAGCATTTCATGAGGCTTAAAGCTTCAATCTTGCATTGAGAAAGTTCTCTGGATGGGAAGCTGAATGTCTTTGACTATGAAATAAGTATTTTTTCTTGGGTGGGTAGGGGTTGGTTGCCTTGTTCTGGATAAGACTATACCAGCGTACAATAGGGTTGTTTTAGCAAAAAAACATACTAAAAGACTAGATCAGGTTCAGTTAACATGTCCCTCATGAATTTGTCTGTTATTATGATAAGATCTTCACATCTGTAATAAAGTGCTTTGATATTTAACTGATTTTGATGGAAACACAGAAATCCACAGATGTTTTCTGAAGTTTGTGCCAAAAGCTGATTTTAAATCTGAGAAATATGGCAAAAGTTTTTCATAGATTTTTTTTTTTCCCTATTTATTAAAATGTAGCCATTTGATAAAACACTACTTCTACTCATTAGTAGCACAAGCTAACACTGGAGTTTTTCAACGTTCCGGCACAATTTGTCTCTACCCAGATCATCGAGGCGGACTACAACGCAACATGGGTGCACCGGTATGGAGAACCCATCCCCGCAGGGACCCTGACCTCCCTCTGGTCACTGTCTGTAGCCATCTTCTCCATTGGAGGCATGTTCTCCTCCTGCTGTGTGGGTTTCATCTCGGAGTGGCTGGGACGGTAAGAGAACACTTCCTGTTGCACTCATCAACCCAAGCCTTCGACCACCATTGGCTCCACCATTGCAACTGGTGGTGGATCAGATTTTTCCATTAATTTGCTAGGATCCACCACTCTGCGCCGCTTCAGACAAGAAAAAAAACGTACCTCTCTTCTTCTACACAGAGTAACTTCTACCCACTTTATTATCTCGCACAAAAAACATTAAGGTTTACTTGCATCCCCCGTTCAATTCCAAAACAGAAAAACTCTCATATTGAAAACTACATTCACTTTTCAAATCCTTCAACAACAGGAGACATAGATAGACTGCTTGTTCATTTACTTTTTTTTATTTATTTGGCATTGATGGTCTGTGTGTGTTTGTTTGTCTGTTAGCAAAATATCTCATGTACCTCTGGATATATTTTAATGAACGACTCAGAAATAAATAATTAGATGTCCGTCTACAAATGTGTAACTGGTTCAAAATGGCTGCTACAGTCGATCAACCTTAGCAAACATAAAATTGGCTCTAACCAAGTTGGTTTTACAGATAATGAGCTAAAGCTTGGTGTGGTAGTGGCTGACACTCTTACCCAACACATATTCAGAGCACCAATATGAGATCTTTTTTTTTAAAGTTTGACTGTTAAGCTACAGGTGATAGAAACGCTATAGATTTTTTTTAAAACATGAAATTTGTCTACATATATTTTTTTAACAAGGTTGGTGTTAAATCAAACTAGCACAGCTTTTCTTATCATTGGAAACAAAAATGCAAAATCTGTTTTATTCTTCTAAAAAAAAAAAAAACTTATGTTATAGAGTGCCTCAAAACCAATAAAAAGTTTGAACATTTCAAATGAAAGCTCAGGTGAATAAACAGTAAAATTTGCCTCTAAAAACAAATAAACACCAAAAAATTAAATGAAAAATAAGAATAAAAGTGTTTTCAATGTAATGAGAGGACTTGAAGTTGGAAGTAAACCTAATTTTGTGTGCATGTGAAACACGAAAGCTTTGATTCAAACTAAACTTGAAGACAGTTTGAATATATAACAAGCAAGCTGATAAGAGAGGAAAGAAGTTCGTCATTTTCTTCGCTCGGCTTTGATTCACCAAAATATTCTCAAGATAAGAGACGTTACTGACGTCAAATCCAAAGTCGATCTTAAAATCCAGTTGTAGCCCAAGACAAGATGCAAGATGGATTCTTTCTGTCCTCTTAGGTTGGCGTTCCTAACAGACATGTGGTCCAGGAGGTTGATATGAATGGGGTGGAATGGGGGGGGGGGGTGCCCCCACCAGGAAAAATGAACTTCCTGAAAGCAGCTGCTGGTTAAAACTGCCACGACCTCATAGGTCAAAGAGCACATGCTGCCCAAGACTCTGGAGACCACAGTTGTCCTCTTTAACGAGACTCAACGTCTGGTTGGTGGGAAAAAGACTGAAGGAGTTGAAGACGCTAAAAATAAAAGTCTTCACTCAAACTAATGTCTAAAGAGAGACCTCCAGAAATTGGTGCTCCTAGAAATAATGCATGTTGTCCACCGCCTTTCAGACCAGAGTTTTGGTTTTTACACTGAAACGTTCTTCTAATTCAATAACTCTAGAAAGAGAAATGATAAAAAAAAAACAGGTGTAACAAAAGCTAAAGAATGAACATGAGTTTAAAGTAGATATTTCAAAGCAGCAGAGGAGCGTACTAATGTCCAAAGGCTGTTTGTTCAACAGTTTTGGCCCCACCACCCCAAAAACCCAGTCCCTTCTGCGCTTACACCTATTGGTGCAGTTAGGAGCAGCTGATCATCAGACTGGGATCATCAGACTGGGAGACTGGGCAGGTAGGTAAGGGTGGAGCAGTTCAGAAACATGAGGAGAAGCGAGACAATTAAAAACAAAAGAATTTCAGTATGGATTCTACAATGTGATATAATGAGGTCTCACAACTGAAAACTAGCCAAAAATGTTGATCAGCAGAAAAGCAGCTGAAAGGAGCATTAAAAAATTTAAGTATTTAAAAAAACACCCAAAAGGCATAAATTAGCAATAATAAAGTAATAATAAATTGCTGAAAAGGGGCTACAATTAAAAATACCTTAAAAATAGCTGAAATGAGTACAAAAAAATGTGAAAAAAAGAAGAAAAATGCTGAAATTAACAGAAAAAAAAAATATGAAAGAATCTGAAAAGAGCTGAAGGAAGCTGAAATTAGCAAAAAGAAGCTAAAAAAGCTGAACTAGAACAAAAGCTGACATAAGCAGTAAAGTTAAAAACAGCTCAGAGAGTGTGAAGGATGATTCCAAAATGATCAATCAATCAAAAACTTTATTTCAGACACACATGGTCCATACTAGTAAACAAAAACTGGCAAAGAAAAAAAAAAGAAAAAGAGAAACGCATGATCGAAAAAGCTAAATGTTTCAAAAAGTAAAAATTGCACAGATACCAAAAGTTATAGCAGGAATGTCCTGAATGAGCTGAACGTTTTGATTAATGAATTGTTGAAATAGAACAAAAATTCTAGAATCATCGATGCCGAGAAACATACGGAAGAAGAATGGATCAATAGTGTGAATGCTTTAGAAACATTCACACTATTGTTATCTTACTTGCACTATACTTTACTTTCTTTGACTTGATCATGACAGGAAATAATCCCATCAATGTCACCTGCTTGATCAAGTAGTATTAATACTGCAGCTTTGATGAGCAGCATCTTAAGCAGAGGTTTAGTCCTTGAACGAGGCGGCTCACTGGATGTTTCTGTATGACACTGCCCTCTGCAGGATCAAATTCAAATTAAGCTACACAAATTGCATTTCCTGGGAAAATGCAGTGTGAACGCTTAGAACTTGCTGAGAAACAGCTGAACTGAGCTAAAATAAATAAAACAAACAAAACATTCTGAAATGTAGCTGAAATTTAAGAACAGGCCTAAATTAGCAAAAGAAAGCAGAAAGAACACATATTTGCTGAATTAGCTTAAAATAAACAGAGATTTTTTTTTAATTTTCCATTTAGCCTTTATTAATCCAGGTAGTCTCATTGAGACATGAGAACTCATTTTCAAGAGAGACCTGTTTAGGGAGCAGATTGCTCATGGGCCCAGGGTGGGGCGAATGAGGGTGGGGGCAGGTGTGGGTTCTTCACCTTCCCCACCGAACATTTTTGATGTTGTCGGTACCGGGGCTTGAACCCGCGCTCTTCTGATCACAGGCCCACCTTCTCAGATGAACACAGAAATTAGGAAATAAGCTGAAACATGCTGAAAAGTAGCTAAAAAGGCAAAATGAAGCTTAAACTACCAGAAGGAAAGAACTGAAATGAGATTTAAAAAAAATGTGTAATTAGCTGAAAAAGCTCAAATTAGCATTAAAACAGCTAAATAGTAGCTGAAAGAGCAGAAAAGTTGAAACTAGGAGAAAAAAGCTGAAAGAAGTGGATATTATCTGAAAAAAGTTTAAATGAGCAAAAATCAGCTTAAAAATAGGTAAAATGGCAGAAAGAAGCTTAAATTACCAGAAGGAAGTGGAGAGAGCACATTTATGCTGAAAAAAGTTGAAATGAGTGCAAAAAAAATGTGGAATTAGCCGAAAAAAATAAATGCTAAAATTAGCATAAAACAACTAAATAGAAGCTGAAACAGCAGAACAAGCTGAAATTTGCAGAAAGGAGCTGGAAGGAGATCAAAACAGCTGAAATAAGCTGAAAGTAGTTTAAATTTACAAGGAAGCTGAAAGAAGCTGAACAAAATGTGAAAGGAGCAGTAAAAGGTTGTAAACAGAGCTGAAGATTTGAAGGATGTAAAATGAGCTCAATTCATTTTATATTAGACAAAAAAAAAAAATGGCAGAAAAGGCTAAATGTTTCAAAAAGCTAAAGCTGCACCAAAACCAGACATCATATCAGGATTGTACTGAAAGAGCTGAACGTTTTGATTTATGATTTGTTGAAACAGCTTGAAAACTGTGGGACTAGAAAGATGCTGAAAAACATACAGAAGAAAAATGGATAAAAAAAAAACGGCTGCACAAATATAAACAACACTACAACAACATCCATCTCCTTTAACGCTCTTTAAATAAAGATATGATGCATCCTAATAGACGGGGTTCAAACGAGCCTAACTCCAGCCGCTCCGTGTTTCCGTCAGGAGGAAAGCGATGCTCGCAAACAACTTTTTGGCCTTCGTGGCTGGAAGTCTGATGGGAATGTCCAAACTCTGTCGCTCCTTTGAAATGCTGATCCTGGGGCGCTTTGTCATCGGTGCCTACTGCGGTGAGCCACACGCTGCTTTAGCTTCTGCTTTTCCTCTCCTTTCAATTTGCTCGTTTATTTCAACAATTAAATTATTCACGCAATGGAATTTGCTTTTGTTTGATATATCATAGATAATCTCCTCCTTCTGCACAGGGCTGGCATCTGGTTTAACACCCATGTACGTGGGTGAGATAGCACCTACAAGTCTTCGAGGTGCTCTTGGGACGCTGCACCAACTGGCTATAGTTACTGGCATTCTCATCGCACAGGTATGATATGACGGCAAACTCGGATGTCATTTCCCCCTAAAATCATATATTTTCTTAGTTCATTGTACTAATGATCACCTGCTGTCAGAGGCTAAAGGACAGTATCTGTCAATTGTGCATATTTTGGGGTTTCTGGAGTCAACCCCATTCAAGATGACCGCCACAGCCAACTTACCTTAGTAACCAAAACAAACATGGCTTTACCTCACACTGTTTTACTTTTTTTTTTTTTTAATTGAGCTCAAATTTGGTGTGGTAGTAGCTGAGCATCAAAGTTCATGATCAATAATCCAGGTAAAAAAATCCAACAAATTTCAGTCGGGCCATCTGGATCTTTTCTTTTTTGTTGTTGTTGAGACGTTTCGTCCTTCATACAAAGGACTTCATCAATCTTGATGAAGTCCGACTGATGAAGTCCTTTGGATTAAGGATGAAACGTCTCAACAACAAAAAGAGAAACCGTCCAGATGAACTCACTGAACTTTGTTGGACTTTCGACCTGAATTATTGCGCATGAACTTTGATGTTTTGAACCACTATGTTTACGGCTGCCTCAGAGGAGTTGACGGGAGAGAGTGGGCCCCAGAAACCATCTTATCACCAGCAAACTGGTTGGTCCACTATGGGAGTGTGCTGCATGTGCCTCCTCAGATTGATGAAGTCCTTTTGGATGAAGGACAAAACATCTCAACAACAAAAATAGGAAACCGTCCAAATGACCTGACTGAACTTTGTTGGGTAGTAGCTGAGCATTTTTTTTTCCCCAATGCATTAACTGTTGGTGACAACACTGTTTGTATGTTAGCAAAATATCTCATGAATCACTGGATGAATTTGTTTGAAACCTCCATAAAGTAATCACTGGATGCATTTCTACACTCTTTACCTTTAGGAGCCAATTTGATTAAAGATGTCCGCCACAGTAATACGCCTGAGCCACCATGAAATTGGCTATATTTCAGTCACATTTATAGACAATGAGCTAAAATTGGTCATCAAGGTCAAGGTGTCTTTATTGTCCTTCGCACCACATGTGGTACATGTGGTGGAACGACATTGTGTACACAGGTATGGTGGTAGGTTGGGGGTTTCTTGAACATGGATCACAAAACCCCAGTGTTTCAAACTTTGGCATGTAAAGCGGTAAGCGCTAACAGCTTTGTGGCATGACTCGCTAACAAGGTCATTCACAAGGTGTGACCACTTTGCTCACGCACCTCGTCATTAGATCTTTGTTCAAAACTCAACATGAAAGTCAGCTGGTATGCCATTGAGGAATGCTGGGCCTTTAACCTGGTATCTCGAACAAGGTTGAGTCAGGTCCTCTGGATGGATTCTCCTTTATCTTCCTGGGTTATTGAGCACGCAACAGGACATTTTTAACCCGATATGTTCTCTCTCTTTGGGCAGATTCTGGGTCTGGAGTCGTTGCTTGGCAGTGAAGACTTGTGGCCCGTTCTGTTGGGTTTGACTGTCGTTCCGACCGTACTTCAGATGGGTCTGCTGCCCTTCTGCCCCGAGAGCCCTCGATTCCTCTACATCATCCGGTGTCAGGAGCACCAAGCCAAGAGAGGCAAGTGCTCCTTCATGGCCTCATTAGCTCTTAGTTTACTATTATTGCCACTTCTTTTTAAGATATCTCACTGGGTTGCGACTCTTGGTGATAAATTATGAACGGTATTAGCAAGGGTGTTTCGAGAACATCTTAAAACCTTCATGGGGGTTCTCAGTTTCCTTGCATGAATTGTGGGGATTTGCTCCTTTGTTGCTGAATTGTTTAAAACGTTGGCAAAACAAATTTTCTTTCAAAATACTCTTAAGAGTTATTGCCGTGTCTAGAACCCCATTTAGTTTCCATAACTCTAGAGTACTTGAGCTCTACCTGTTTGCATACTGTCTCACAGTTTTGTGTTTCCGAATTGCCCATCACAGTTACAGTCCAAGGAGATTTTACTTTTAGGGATAAATCCCACTTTTTTTAAATCGAGATCATTGTCAGGTTTCGAGTTAATGCTTTAAACATCACAGCTGCGCTAAAACATAGAATTGTCAGGTTTGAAAAGGAAAACGGAAAGACGCAGATGGGAAGTCTTATCAAACAACTTGCTGAAATGGATAATAAAAAGTAGGATTCAGGATGTCTTAAACATTTACCAACATGAGAAACTTCTATAGTAGCAAACTTTCTGGAATATAAGTTTTACATAAAATGATACTGTGTGGCTCTTCTCGCACTCAAAAACAACCTTGCTATGCTTTCTACAACCTACATTGCCAATAAGAACCCATGTGGATCATGGGAAATTTGAAAAACCTCCTTTAGTGAGAAGGTATTTGTGATGCTGCTGCTCTTGTAGGACTCGCCAAACAGGGTTTTCTCTGCTATTATAAGCACCCCCGAGTCAGTCTCCTCCTTCCTCATTGTGCTTCATACACCATCCCTGGCATGACTCTATTCAACTAAATCAGGATGCAGTTACATGGTAGAAGATCACACCACGTTGTCCTATTGTTTGTATGACCATGTCACAGTCATGGTTGTAGACTAGGTATTAAGTCAACATGACCAGTTCTCCTTTAAATTTGCTAAAACAAATGGCTTGCACATCTTCAATACTCTGCCACTACCGCCTCCCCCATAACCCTGATATGCTGCCACATCGCACATAGCACTATTACGATTATGACTACGACTATTATGGGTTGAGCACACTGTCATCCAGTGTAAGCATTGCAAATTCCACTCAAGTTTCAAAACTGAGACTGCTCCTGTAAAAGTTTTTAATGACCATATTAAATTGTTGACTCAGGAAATTCTGCTGGATTAATACTTTTGATCTGCTTTAGCACTGTAGATCCATATATCCTAATGTCACAACTCAAACTTGATGTTGGTATCAAAAATAAACCTTTGTCCTGGTTCACATTATAGCTGGCAAACAGGATTGTTTTTTTGTTTCCGTTGCGGAACGTTGCATATTCTGCCACCTCTATCACTGCCAGGGTTCCTCAAGGCTCCATTCTGGGTACACTGCTTTTCATTCAGTAAATGTTGCTTTCTGAATCTATTTTTAGGAAACAAAAACAGCATGCTGACTTTTTCTGCTTTGCCAACATTCTTCAGTTCATAAATAAAGCGTCTGAATTTAACTAAATCCTAAATTAAACAAAAATGTTCAAATTACAGTCAAAATAAAGCTGAAAATATTAGCTTTGGACAAACACACATGGTCCTTTGGCTTCATACAATCAATCTGCTATAAAGAGTTGAACTTTTGCAAGCAAAACAGTTAGATTAATTTAGTTGGGAAATCATGTTTTTCCGAGTTACTTAACAAAAGCTTATAAACTTCTGACAAAATAACAAATGCAAAACAATTTAAACTAATGGTTAAGTTTTTGTTTATTTTATAGCTAATGTATGTGTGAGACTTTGTTTTTTGTCATAATTTTTTTAACAACTTGTCAAACTATTTTCTATTGACGATGAGCTAAAAATCTCCCATTTTCTCCTTTTACACAGGCTTGAGGAGGCTAACGGGCCGACAGGAAGTGGGTAACATGCTGGCAGAGATGAAGGAGGAGAAGAGGAGGATGGACATGGAGAGGAAGGTGTCGATTCCTGAACTCTTCCGTTCGCCTCTTTACCGCCAGCCCATCATCATCTCCATCCTGCTGCAGCTCTCTCAACAGCTTTCTGGAGTCAATGCAGTGAGTTTTATTCTAATTTAATACCAATTATTGATCTGTAACACTAAAAATACACTTTTTTTTTTTTTGTTTGCATTTTTATATCACAAATACAACAATGTAGTTTACATAATGTTCAAAAACAAAGAATTCAGGACTTAGTTTTGGTGTACTATATATCATTGATCTAATCCAGTCTGTTTAACCCCCTCCACAGATTTTCTACTACTCCACCAGTATCTTCATGAAGGCAGGAGTCCAGAGTCCAGTCTACGCCACCATAGGAGCAGGAGTGGTAAACTGTGCCTTCACTGTAGTTTCGGTGAGAAATCATGGTTTTATCCTATCTTTTGACCCCCCCTCCCCACATTTTCACAAAATGTTTAAAACGTCTTTCAAACTTCCAACAATAAAGTCTACAGTCTTACCACTGGCGCGTCAATAAGTTGTTTCTGTGTTTAACTCCGTTATCTATCAGAAGGTAAATAAGATAAGAGGGAGCTGGTCACTCTTTTACATCTGTCCTCATATACTCCTTTCTTTTTTTTTTAGTCCGCTATGTTTTTACTTTTCCTATAAAGTTTCAATGTTATTCAAATGGTCAAAAGATTTTTTATAGCTCAGTAAAGTATTGTAGGTGTATTTCTACAAATACAAAACAAAATGTTAAACTTTGCCCAATGACAGGTAAAAATGATTTATTTTTAACATTCACAGAGAGGCTGACATTTGACTTTAAGTGAAATGTTAATAATAACTTATCTGAATGACCTTTTAAAAAATCACCTAAATTCTCTACGTTACTTTTATGCTTATAATATTATTAGATAGCTACATGTAGAAACAAAATTAGCTTGTTCGCCAAAGTTTTAAACAAACGTCGAGTACTCTGTTAGCACTCGGAGTTTGTGTTTAATTCAGTTAAAATTTTAGCTCAGTATCTGTAAAACTGACAATGTTATGGCTATTTTGGGGGGTTTCCAAGTTGTTTTGTTTTTAGTTAGAGCGGCCATCTTGAATCAAGTTGATTCCAAAAGTTACCGTATTTTCTTTTATGACCACACTTTTTACCACCCCAAAATTATTTAATGCTTATCAGTAAATACACATTTTCTAAAATGTTATGTGGATTATAGACGATGTTAAACATTGTTTGCAAACGTGCTGTGGTTTGTCAGAACATTACAATTCTTATCTTTAACAACCCTAACCTGCTGCACATCCTTTCCAGCCTGATCCCTCTGTTTCGCCAATCGGTACAAGTCCTTCTTGCCCTCTTGAGTGTCCAGCCTCGCATACAACTCATCAAACACCTTCTGCTTTGCCTTCGCCACCTCCCTCTTTGCTCTACATTGCATCTCCTTATATTTCTGTCTCCTCTCTTCAGTCCTCTCACTGTCATATTTCTTTGGTTAACCTCATTTTTGAATAGCATCCTGCACGTCACTATTCCACCACCAGGTTCCTTATAATCCATTCTCTGTCCAGATGACACACCAAGTATCTTCCTACCTGTCTCTCTAATTAATGTTGCTGTAGTAGTCCAGTCATTTGGAAGCGCTTTCTTACCACCCAGAGCCTTTAACACACTCCTCTGAATTTCTCACAACATTCTTCTTTCTTCAGCTTCCACCATTTGGTCTTCTTCTCTGATTTTACTATTTTTCTCTTCTTCACAACAGCCATTCTACACACAACCATCCGATGCTGTCTGGCCACGCTCTCCCCTGCCACAACCTTACAGTCCCCAATCTCCCTCGGGTTTCCTCTTATACACAGAATGTAGTCGACCTGCGTACTCCTTCCTCCACTCTTATAGGTCACTCCATGTTCCTCCCTCTTTTGGAAACAAGTGTTGACTACAGCCATTTTCATTCTCTTGGCAAAATCCACCACCATATAACATAGTAACAGTTCCTGGTTTATTTCCTTGACACCAAACTTACCCATCACTTCCTAATCCCCTTTGTTTCCTTCATGAACATGTTCATTCAGGTCTGCTCCGATCACCACTCTCTTTTTCCTGGGAATACTCTATCACTTCATCCACATCTTTCCAAAATGTATCATTCTCCTCCACATCACATCCAACCTGGGGGCATAACCACTGACAACATTTAACATCAGACCTTCTACTTCTACCATCAGGCACATCACCCTATCTGACACTCTTTTTACCTCTACTACATTCTTTGCCCACTCCTCCTTCAGGACCACCCCTACTCCATTTATATTTCTATCCACATCATGATAAAACCGTTGAAACCCTGCTCCAAAGCTGCGAGCCTTGCTGCCCTTCCACTTGGTTTCTTGGACACATAAACATCTACCTTCCTTCTCTGCATCATGTCAGCCAGCTCTCTACCTTTGCCTGTCATTGCCCCCACATTTAGAGTTGCCACCCTCAGTCCTATATTGATGCCATTCCTGACACAACTCTCACCATTTACCCGGGCTTGGGGCCGGCACAACTGGCTTGTGCTCCCTAGTGGCTGGTTTCTAGCATATAACAGCACATGTTAAACATGATTAACATGCTAGCACCTTATATTCTACATAGAGGTTGGCATTTGCAATTTAAAGTGAATTGTTTTCCAATTTTTCACCAAATGACCTTTGATTTTATTGACACATTTGGCAATAATTATTTAGTTTTGTTGTTTTATGACTAAATGTTTATGAAGCTAATAAAATTACCATTACCTCTTAGTTATCAATTGGAAAGTAGTTAACAAATACCAGAACATGTTAACGTGTCGAACTTATACTAAATAAAATGGTAAAAATTTGCAACTATGGTAGCACTTTATGTCTGATACTTGCTTTAGGTTTTTTTCTCTACAGAAGACTTTACTACATACTTGAAAATGAGTTAAGTGAATTAAATATGAACGCTTTATGTAGCTACTGAGGGTAACTGTGTCGCTCTTTTTCTGTTTCCGTCTCTGAACAGCTTTTTCTTGTGGAGAGGATGGGTCGACGGACACTTCACATGTTGGGACTAGGAGGAATGTGTATTTGTGCTGTCATCATGACTGTAGCACTGGCTACACTGGTGAGGACACACAAAATGCAAGTGTGGGTCTAACCTAGCAGTATTACGAAGTGCAGCCAACTTCTCTTTTCTTTTACTTAACAGGACAAAATTGCTTGGATGAGCTACATCAGCATGCTAGCTATCTTTGGCTTTGTGGCCTTCTTCGAGGTGGGTCCAGGTCCCATTCCTTGGTTCTTTGTTGCGGAGCTGTTTTCTCAAGGTCCAAGGCCAGCTGCCATGGCTGTGGCAGGCTGTTCCAACTGGACGGCCAACTTCATCATTGGCATGGGCTTTCAGTATGTGGCGGTGGGTATTACTCAACAATGAGGAGTTCTATGGGGTGCCGTTTGTAAAGTTGCACAGTCAAAAATTAACATCAATATTTTGGTTTATTTAGCTTTTAATTAAAAAAAAAAGTTTTTTTTTTCAAAGTCATATTTTCACCATGTTATTAATACATTTCTAAATGTCATAGTTCCCAACTAAATACAGTATTTAATTTACAAGATATTTAGTTTACAAACTAAATACTTAATTTGCAAGTTAAATATTTAGCTATTTAACTAGATATTTTTGGTATAATTTAAATATTTAATTTACACCTAAAGATTTAGTTTTCTAACTAAACATTTAATTCTTAAACTAAATATTTAATTTAACTAAATATTTACCTCAGACCTAAATATTTAACTTGATAGTTAAATATTTAGCGAAATAAACCAAAATATTGATGTTAATTTTGGACTGTGCAACTGTACAAACGGCACCCCATACAGTCCAGCAGTAGTTGTACATCTACAGCTACATCTGTTCATCGTAAACTCAAACGTTTCTTCCATCTTTTATTCCAGGACCTCTGTGGGCCGTACGTTTTCCTGATCTTCGCAGCACTGCTCTTCTTCTTCCTCATCTTCACATTCTTCCGTGTGCCAGAGACCAAAGGAAAGACCTTTGACCAGATTGCAGGCAACTTTAACCAACACTCACCTGGAAGGATGATGGATATGGATATGGACATGGATTTGGACAAGCCCAGCACAGAACTAGATTATTTGGGGGAAGATGGCATCAACTGAAGCGTCGCTATCAAATAAAAACTGAACTCACAAGCTGGAGTTAACTTTCTATGGGCACTGGCTCAAAACTTTTATTCCCCGACATGTGTTTTGACTGTACTCATATAGGTTGTCGTGCCAAAGTGTTGTTGAGTTTGGATGTTTTAAAAAGGTCTTTGGCTGGTACCACATCAGTTGATTAGTGAGTTTTGCCTCGACGACTGTAATCCTGAGGGTTAGTGATTGATTGTTGTACGTCAAACAAAAATTATGAACTTTTGAGGCAGCGACTGCCAGGGTGATGGGATTTTATTCCATGCCGATGCACCCAGCTGCAGTATTCACAGACGAAGGAGAAACTTTGGAATTCCTGCACTTTATAAACAAAGACGTATCCAAAGATTACCAAAGCTTGGAGATAAAGTGGATCCTGTATCACTTGTGATGGGAACACGGAGGAAGATGGTAAAAATGGTAAAAATGGATATAGGTGGCAAATATCACATTTGAACAGAAATGTGGGATTGTGTAACCATTTGGTTTAAGAATTTTTGTTCTAGAATTATACAGATAGCAGCTTTAGACAAATATTGCTTATACATATATTTTATAGAAACATGGAAATTTCTGCAAGGACGCACTCCAGAATTTAATTAACCAGATTCATGTGAGCAACATATTTGCAGTTTTCAGCTTTTTATAAACACTAAAGAAACAAGTTGGCGTTTAAATGGAGCCACACTGCTCATCCAGACTTCCCGTCTTTGCATTTTTGGTTTGGTTTAGTTATGAGCAACAATATACCCACCATTTTAACATCTGAGCATGGATGGTGCAGGAGGAGGCTGATCTTTCTTTTCAATTCAGAATGTCTATGAAGGGCCTCAGTGTGGCTAACAAGCTAACCCCAGTTAGCTGTCAGCATTAACACATTTCTTTAGATCTATTTTAGAGAACTTTCTGTATGCAATAAGTTTTGCAATACATTTTCTTAGTGCATGATGGCAGCAGCTAGCTATAGCACCTGAAGACCTCATTTAGTTTTCAGTCCTGCCCAGCAGGGTACTCTTCCTGTCAAACTCATGGCCAGTGATGCAATTTTTTTATTAAATCATGTTTGCATGAACTGCTATTAAGTATTTGTTTTAAGGCATTTTATTTTGGCCACTCCATCTGGAGATCGACCCACAACAGGTAAGATACTCATTGTAACTTTTCCACCTGAACCCTTAATCGTTTTGAACTTTATTTTGTTTGTATGAGCAGCCAAGTGTGAAGTTTGCATTTACAGCTTAAGATTTTTTTTGTTTTCAATTATACGAATTGTTGAAATGCCAAACGTTTAGAATTTGATGCATTATTTTTTTAGTACAGGATTTTAAGTTTTTAATGAATTCCAGCCGAGAGTATAGTCTGTAATCCTGCTTTTACAGTAGGTGCAGGTACTCTGTTCAGTTGAACTGTAACTTTATGCTGTGATTCTGTAAATAATGATAAACACTTCAAAAAGGCCTCTTCAGTCCAGCGTCAAACAAACTCCAGTCAAACATACTTGAGATTTGCAGACATGATTTATTAATTAAACAGTCAAATACTGACATTGCACATAATCCCCTCCAAACAGAAAACAAAAAAAAAAATAAAAAAGCTCAGGAAATAAAGTTCCTCCGTGGCTTCATCCAAAGCCGAGGAGACGGAGAGTAGAGCGTTTCAGATCGACTCAGGTGGTACCAGAACTAAACTGACTCCCATGATGCACCACCAAATGCACACCTGCTTGGGTTTCCCCTCAAATTAAAAACAAGGCTGGTTCCTTTAAACTACTTGATGTCATCATTAAAGAAAATGTTCTTTCAGGAGGGGGGTTGAATAACTCCACTACCAAGCAGATCGTCTATTTTTTTTCTTTCCAAAGATTTTTTTTAACTTTTAAACATACACTCATTAGATTCCCACCACACTCTTTAGTCTGTGTCTAGACATGAACGCATGATGGTGGGGGGGTCAGGTGACAAGGATGGGAGAGTGCAGGAGGGGAAAGCAGTGCATGTGTTGTGAAAGAGCGTCGGTCCTCTAAAATGATAGGGCCTACAAAACCAAAAGGAGGCACAGGGATCGAACAAAGCAAATTTCTGAAGCATCAGTTAGACTGGTCTGAAATCCTGGTTTCCAGTTTGAGACAAAAAACTAAATTCTTAATCCAAAAACACAAGAAATGTCCTTAAAGACTCTAAAAATCCTTTTTCCATCCCTTTAATGCCATAACTCCACCTTAAACCCCGTTTAATGTCCGTCACGAGGCCCTCTGAACGACGGCCAGCGAGTCACATGGAAGCAGACGCAGCGCGACCCCAGACAGTCCTTTGAGACACAGTGGGGGGCCCTCCACCTCCTGCTCAGGGTCACGTGACCACCATCCTGGACTTACTCCGTTGGTGCTTGGACTGCTGGAGCAGCTGCCTGCTGACGGCAAGGAAGCTGGTCAAGATGGAGGCCAACAACAAACTTGGAAGGAAGAAAATGAAAGACGTTACCTCGGGCGATTTTGGCGTTTTAGGAGACGTTTTGGGAGACGACTTCGGAGATTTAGATGTGGACTTCAGCTCTGATGGTTTGGAGGTCTGAGGTGGGGTACCAGGGTCTGACGCAGACTTTTCTGTATCATTCTGAAACATGAAAAGGAAAAATTATGAAAGCACAGAAAATTGAACACTTGTTTTTTAAGCCATTATTCACATTTTCAGTTGGGTTCGTGTAGAAAGGCTGAACAATCACGACGTTACGTCTACAACTTCACGGCACGTTCACTTTTACTGTGCTGGCAGTTTATCATCATGTTAAATTAAAACCACGGCGATTTGGAAGCACCCGTGGCAGCGACTGCCAACTGAAGCACTTCAGGCAAGAATAATTGAAACGGTTTTCAAATATAACTAAAACTGACAGTGGTTTACTTGTGGTTCCTACAGTTTCTAAAAGTGCCAGGAAGGAGAACTGAACAAAAATCGATTGGAGTTGAATATGAAGAACGACTGGAGTGTTGAGCCACCTACAAACTACATTTTTATTTTCAGAGACAAAAGACTAAAATGAGTACTGTACAAGTTGCATTTTTTTGTATAAATTAGCATGTGCTTTTGATTTCTTCAGGGAAGAGACCAATGTTTTTTCCCCACATTTATAATCCAATTTTTGGTCGAGATCTGACAATTTCATTAATTCCAACTGGAAAATATTGAACACTACCATTATCAACCACTAGAAGGTGCTCAACTAAATCAAATTTTGGCACTACACCAGTCCACATTTCTGGGTGGTCAGCGGTGACGGATACAACTTATACGGCAGAAAGTACGGCAACTTTTTTTAAAAAGGGGTGGAGCTTTAAACACCTGTTTGGACCACGGATGGCCCAAAAGGGTCATGGAAGTTCTGAAACACCGTCCAGCTGGCAGTCACTAAAACAGATTCATGAAGGTTTGAAGGTTCACTGATAAAGTTGATCAACTTGTATGTCGATGATACTCTAAAAATGTCCAATTTCTCCATCGATTATTAAATCAACTGAAATTATTTAAGTTTTATGATTATCCAAACTTCTACTTTTCAGTAGGTCAGTGAAAATTTGTTGTAGGATAAAGGGATTAATATTAGCCAAATATTTGTATTGTACTTAATTTGAGACTATTTTTATCCATTTTGCTGTTAAGCCTAAAAATTATATTTAAAAAAAGGTATTGCCATTAAATTTAAATTAAGTCTACATCCACCTCTTAAACCTGTGGGTCAAAATTATACCATTCTTTAACTGCAGTCATGGGCCGCACAAAATCACTTAAGGGCCACAAATGGCCCTCGGGCCGCAATTTGGACACCGAACCCACTTCAGAAGATCTCAACTATAACTTGTTTTAATGGTTCAGCATGGTTTAATTATATTCTTAATTTTAATTAATGCTGAACATCTCATGCTGCTGTATTCATACACATCTACTCACTACAGACTCATGTTCAGGCTGCTGTTTAAAGCACCGTATTATTTTACATTATTAGCGTTTAGCCTTCGTTTAGTGTATATTTTAGATCCTTGCATACAGTTTCTTTATATACTTTGTATTTTGCCATTTTTGGTTGTAACTGGGACGTTGAGTACACATTTTGTTCCACCTCATGTACCACATGATGTGAATGATAAAAGAACCTTGATACTGGTCAAATACGTTGAACGCACTTAAACAAAGTGGGTCACTACTGGTCGTCTTTAAACTACGATTGTCGGCTGATCTTTAAAATTCAGTTTGATCTAAACTGGATCTTTGAGGTCTTTGCCCGAGTGCGGCCATTTTGTTGAACGCGTTACACCCCACCCATAAGTCACATCACTTGCTTTTGAAGTGGACGACTCCGAGGCTCTCTGCCGGCGTCGTCTAGTCGGGCGCATTGGTTTCTGGCCCTCTGTGGTTTCTCCGTTGGTGTGGGGGCTGCTGGGGGCCTCCACCTGCTTGCCCTCCTCCGGCTCCTTGGTCTCCACCGGAGCAGGCGGTTTCTGGTCACCTGCAGCCTGATCCAAAGGTGGGCGAGGACGGAACGGCCTGCGTTTAACAGGGACAGGTTGAGTCTTGGGAACAGATTTAGTCGTCGTTTTCAGTCGAAGTTTATCTTCACCTGCGATACGGACGCCAGAACCTGCGCCGCGGCGGTCGCTGCTGCGCCTGAGTGTCGTCTGCAGCTCCGTCTTTATGTTCTTCTACTTCACCCTGACAACAGGAACAGCTTCAAATCAAGTCAGCTGAACAGAACTAAAAAGTTCGGCTGTTCACACGTCCGAGCGTCCGCCTACGTTTTGCGCCTCCTGCCGTGGTCTCCGCGGCCTCCGCCGACGTGGCAGCTGAGGCCCCTCGGCTGCGTTTTCCTCTGATCCTTCCGCCTCGGGAGCGGCGGTTTGGTCATCGTCAGGTTTGCTCGGGTCACCGGGCTGTGCGCTGCGGGGGAAGAACCGCCGACGGAAACGCCGTTTGTTGGGAGCGTACCGGCTGCCTTTTACCGGAACGCCACCCGGACCCGTCACGTTTGCTGCCTCGGAGCCCTGGAGGGGCAAAAACCATAAAGATTCTTTTACAAACAAACCAACAAGCATCCAATAATGTAAACAGTTTTATTTTTTACCTTGGCTGCTTCAATTACGTCAAACTCTACAACTTCTCCATCTCCAACACTGCGGAGGAATTTCCTGGGATTGTTCTTCTTGACGGCAGTCTGAAGAAAACATGCTGTTAAAACCTAAAGTGATGCTCAAACCCATACGTTTCCATCCCATATATTCAATAGGCTTGTAAGATCAATCATCCAGGTAGAGAAAGTTAAATCGTGTCATCTGGACTAGTTTCTTTAACGTTTCATCCCCCATCCAGAGGACTTCCCCAGATGTGTCCCATAGGTAGCCTGTGTTTTGAGCCAACCTCCTGTTGGACTCTCAGAAGCAGGTTTTCAACATGTGCAAAAACAATCTTGTACAACAATCAAAATGTTTTGGGCCAGATGGTCAAACTTACTACTCGGAGCCTGAGGACAACCAAGACCAAAGGTTCAGAAAACAGGTTGTAAGGTGCAAGAAGAAACATTTCATAAAAAACCGGTCCAGATGACTTGACTCAACCCGTTTTTTGTTATCTACCTGGATGCAGGGCCGGCACAAGCAAAGTAAGCGGCTGCTTGGGGCCCCATATGGAATTTTATTATTTTTTATTATCTCTAGACGATTCTAATATATTAAGTTCAGCTTTTGCAACTTGTTGAATACCTTTACATAGTTTTAACTAATTAAGTTTTTTTTTTAACCATTTTACGTGGTTTCAAGTAATTGTTCATTTACATTAAGTACTTCATTGATACATTTTGTTTTTGCACATTTTTATGCATCCAAGTTATTTTATCTGTCGTCATCTTGCACTACAAATTATTTTGAACATTACTGTTGCAGTTCTTTGGAACCAACAATAAGTCAGATGACACTTCTGATGTAAAATACTGTTGTTGTTTTTTTTTTGGGGGGGGGGGGGGGGGGGTACTTTTAGTGCCACTAGATGAGCATAATGCAAACGGGGCTGTCAGAGTTTCAATGGGTTCATGTTAGGTGGGTGAATGATCTGATCATCTGACTTGATTCCAGTAATCCACATTAGCAGAAAGAGTGCCCCAAACCAACTTTTGCTTGGGGCCCCATGGCGGCTTGGGCCGGACCTGCCTGGATGATTGGGTTTTGGACAGACTGGTCCAGTTTGCACATGTTAAAAACCTGCTTCTGAGATTCCAACAGGAGGGTGGCTTGAAACAGCAGTGCAGACTACCTATGGGACAGATCTGGTTGGCACGCTGTAGACTGACGAAGTCCTCTGGATGGGAAACAAAACGTTTTTCCACTTAAACCGGTTCACGTGATTTAACCCGCTTTCTTAAATTCGTTAAGGGCATTTGTAAAGTTCGGAAGTTGTAAGAGAAAGAAGCGCAGACTGTAGAAGGCTCGTCACATTAAACTCTTCCAGTTATCCGTTTGAGCTGCAGCATGATTAGTCTCTCACCAAGTCTAGCCAATGGTACATGCGTGATTTTGCTAACACGGCAGACGATCGCCCAATCAAATTTGACCACCCTTTCACCTTTGGCAGCAGGTGATAAAATTTGTACTTGCCTATCCTGATGAATGCTCAATAATCCAGATAGAAAAATCTAACGATGTTAAGTCAGGTCTTCTGGATGGATTAAAAAAAAAAAAATCACTTGAAACTTTTAATCCAAAACGACTTCCTCAGTCTGAGGAGTTGCAGGAGCCCTTATCAAAGTGGATCAACCAGAGCCAAAACTTGCTGTTCACATGATAAACGGACCATCAATCCAGTTTGTGCACCGATGGCCGCTTGCTATTCACAGGGAGCTGAGTGATACTAGCCATTATTGTGAGTATCACTCAGCCCTCTGAATAGCAAGCAGTCACCAGGGCACTAACGAGCCATTGTTGGGTTGATGGTCCTCTTTTTGCATGTGAACAGCTGGTTTTGGCCGTCAGCAAACTGGCTGATCCACTTTGATCGGGGTTACTGCAACTCCTTAGACTGAACGTTTCAACAATTATTTTTTAATCCGTCCAGAGGACTCGACTAAACGTTGCTCTCTAACCACACTTTAATATCCTCAGAACTAGACCTCAGACAAACTAAAAGTCACAGACTCGTCATTCGAGTCCAGCTGGCACAACTCCTGCTCCGAAACCCAACCAGGTCTTACCTGATGAACAAAGACGTCTTCCTTGGTGTCATTCCTGTAAGAACACATGAAGCCTCGAGTCTTTAAGAGAATACTTAAAATTAAAAAAAAGGTGACCATGTTTTAAAAGAGTGCGAGGAGTAAAATATACCTGTTTATGAAGCCATAGCCGTTGCGCACGTTGAACCATTTTACTGTGCCTTGAACTGCAGAGGCTGCAACAAAAAGCACAATGTTCAACATTTGACAATAACTTGCTTTAAACCCACTGAAGGGACATGACGTGCTGTTATCTGCAAACATCAATCATTAACAGTGAGACTTTGAAACCTGCTCTGATTTAGGTCACCGGAAGTTCAAAACCTTTAATAAATCCAATTTATCGAAAATAAAAAGCATCATTAAAAACAAAACCGACTCTTAATTGCTTTTTATTTTCCAGTAAAATGAGTTGCAGCTGTGAGAGCTCGTGCGCGCGCGACACGCGTTGATAGAGGATTCGGGTCACGTGCTCTCACCGACAGGTTAAGCCGAACTATCGCCACTTTTACTCCTTTAAAAAAACAAAACAAAAAAAAAACGTTTACGGAACCGAACTGAGTCGAATAATCCGTTTTGTTTTATGACGTCACCAATTTAATTAAAACAAGCTCAAAGAGAAATGGTCCCAGTTTTTCAGTTTGTTTGTCGTCACTCTTTCACAACCGAAGTTAGCGACAAACCACGAAGTCACGTCGGAGCTTCCACGAGGATTTAAACTCGACTTTACTTCCCCTACAGCCGGCAGGTGCGAGGTCCTCGCGCGCACACACCTATGACTTTCCTCTCCGGCTGCGGTTTGCTGTCCTCCGCAGGTGGAGCGCTCTGCGCCTCGGCGTCGGTCATGCTGCGGCTCCGTTCCGCCTCCTCTCTCCTCGCTCTCTGCACTGAAAGTTTGCTGAACGCCTCCGTTAAGTTTATATCCCGACGTGCCCTCCGGCCGCCGGACGGAAGCCGCGCCCTCATTGGCTACGCCGGAGCACGAGCTGGATTCTGATTGGCTGCGGCTGAGTCGCCCAATTGGGAGGGAAAACTTGACAGGTGGAGGACAGGTAGGTCTGAGAGGAGCCTGATTTGGGGTCCAAACCTCGTGGGCTATTTTGACCCCAGGGCAGCAGGCGGATTAATGTATGGAAGCCCATTTCCGTCATGAAAGAAAAAAATAAAAGCCCAACAGGAAGTCATAATTTCGAGTTTTAAAGTCATAATTATGGGAATAAACGTCATGATTTTGAATATCCTGATGCATGCTCAATAATCCAGGTAAGAAAAATCTAAAAAAGTTAAATCTGGTCCTCTGGACATTCAAAAAAAACAAACAAAGCAAATCAACAAAAAAACTGGTTCAACTGTCCCCCTCTTACAATGCTGTGATTGCTAGTATCACTCAGCCCTCTGTGAACAGTAAACAGCCATCAGTGTGCTAATGATCCATTGTTAGGCTGATGGTCCTTCTTGAGCATGTGATCAGCTGGTTTTGGTTGTCAGCAGCAAAACTGGTTGATCCACTCTGAGAAGGTGCTATTTAAGAGACTGAGCTGAATACAGCAGCTCAGACTGGGGAAGTCTTGGATGAGAGATGAAACGTTTCTACATTTTTTTGTTGATTTACTTTGTTTTGTTTTTTTTGAATGTCCAGAGGACCAGATTTAACTTTTTTAGAGTCATGATTTTGAGTTTTAAAGTCATAATTATGGGAATAAACGTCATAATTTTGAGTTTTAAAGTCATAATTATGGGAATAAACGTCATAATTTTGAGTTTTAAAGTCATAATAAGGTTGATATTAAAAATGCCAAAACTATGTACATATTCAGGAGGATGATAAAAAATTTGTTTTTTAAAAAAATATTTAGTATAATCCAAAAAAGTTCAATCTGGTCCTCTGGACATTCAAAAAAACAAAAGCAAAAAAAATTCTAGAAACGTTTCGTCTCTCATCCAAGAGACTTCCTCAGTCTGAGGTGCTGTTTTCAGCAGTTTTCTAGAATTTTTTTTGCTTTGTTTTGCTTTTTTTTTTTTTTTTTAATGTCCAGAGGACCAGATTGAACTTTTTTGGATTTTTCTACCTGGATTATTGAGCATGCATCAAGATATTAAGTATAATGTGAGTTCATAAAAATTGTTTACAGTTGATCTTATATTTTAGCTAAATTTTTTTTATTTTTTTTTATCTTTTTATTTTTTTATTAATTCATCTTGCTTTTGTATAGTAATTTTGTTTGGAATATATTTTGGGGACAAGGGGCAGATATTATAAGAATTTATTCTTCTTCTGCTGCCTTTCATTTTATTTCTGTGATTGTATATCTTTTTTCTTTTCTTTAAATTGTATTATATTTGTTGTTTGGATGAAATGAAATAAATAAATAAAACATACATACATACATACATAACTATGGGAATAAACGTCATAATTTCGAGTTTTAAAGTCATAACTATGAGAATAAAAGTCATGATTTTGAGTTTTAAAGTCCTAATTACGAGAATAAAAGTCATGATTTCGAGTTTTAAAGTCATAACTATGAGATTAAAAGTCATAATTTTGAGTTTTACAGTCATAATTACGTGTTTTAAAGTCATAATTATCTAGTGTTTTTTAATCTGTGACCCTATGTTTTAAATGCTTTTGATTAATTCTTCAGTTGTTATTATTAGTGTATTGTATATATATATATTTTTTTTTTCTCTTTAATTTACTCATTGATTGTTGTTGTTGTTAAGCACTTTGATAACAGGTTCTGTTTTAAATGTGCTCTATAAATAAAGTTGACTTGACTTGACTTATGAAAATAAACGTCATAATTCTGACTTTTATTCACGTAATTATGACTTTAAAACTCATAATTATTACTTATTCTTGTAATTATGACTTTAAAACTCATAATTATGACTTTTATTCTCGTAATTATGACTTTATAAGTCGAAATTATGACTTCCTGTTGGGCTTTTATTTTTTTTCTTTCATGGCGGCAATGGGCACACGATTCCTTTGATATTTAAAAGAATATTTATTCACTGAAAGGAGCTTTTTACTGCAACATGTGACTCTTTCTAATTGACTATAACATAAAACTGAACTTTACTGGTTGTCAACAACAAAAAGGGTTCGTTTTAACAGTTTTCCTGCCATTTCTTTTGCAAATGTTTACAATGAACGGGTCTGTTTTCATACATAAGGCGCACCGGATTATAAGGTGCTTTAAGCACAGATTTTTGAGCGCTGTGTACCTCGGTCAGTGAGCACAACCAGAATTAATTCAAAAGGCACACCAAATTATGTTGAGTTTTGAGAGAATTAAAGGATTTTAAGTGCGCCTTATAGTCCGAAAAATACGGTGACCCCTACGGGCCAGAAAAGCCCCCTCCAAACCCCTAAAGTGGTCCATGGACCAGCAGTTGGTAATCGCATTTGTGTCCGGAGCCGCAAAACCTGCTACATTTTATTTAGCGAATGGAGCAGAAATGGCTCTTGTGATTGTAAAGGTCGCAGATCCCTGAATAAAAAAAAAATAAAATAAATCAGCTGCTCCCTTCTTCAGGGGTCACCAACGCCTGCTCTAACCAAAGTGCCACCACTCCCTCTTAGACCTCCTGAATTAAACGTCTAGAATAATTAATATTTGTTTCATTTAGTTAAAAAAAAAGTAAAGACAAGCTCCATTTATGGATTTATTTATTTTTCCATTTTTATCTGTTTTTGTTGGGATTATTTGAATAATTTAACTCATATCAAGGGCCTCATTAGGATGGGCCTCCTTAAATCTACCCCCCCCCCCCCCCCCCCGCCCCACACACAATCCTGAGCCTTCTGTGCACACCAACAATAATTTCTTCATATGTGAGCTGTGCATGCACACACAAAACTTGAAACTGGGGCTGGTGAGTTAAAACCCTTGAAAAAGAACCGTTTTGCACCGTGTGTGCTGGAGATAGAAATAACACCTTTATAAAGTCTGATAAAAAGTTTGAAGTAGGGATGCACAATATTATCGGCATGGTATCGGTATCGGCCGATATTAGCGATAAAGTTAAATATCGGACATCGGCCATTCCATCAAAATAACTCACCGATATAAAAGGCGCTCTGATCAGGGCGGGAGAGGAAGAAGTCAAAATGTCGGCGGTGTGGAAGTTTTTTAAAGTGTCGGAAACTGATAGCAGAACTGCTTTTTGCAACGACTGCTCAGTGTCAGTGATGCGAGGAGGAGCTAAAACAAAGTCCTATAACACTTTGAAAATAATTAACCATCTCAAGAACCACCATTCCGACCATTACGATGAGTTCATGGTGGCTAGAAAGTAAAGTGAGAGAGTGGTCAACAGCACCAAAACCTCACCAGCAGTCCATTCTACAAGCTTTGGACAAAGCAAGGAAATACAACGGCGACCACCCGAGGACAAAAGGCATCATCACTCAGGAAGTGATGGAGTGTATTGCTCTGGATAATCAACCATTTTCGTTGGTCAGGATGTCGGATTCTGAAGATTTTTGGACTACGTTGAGCCTTGCTACATCATCCCCAGTCGGAGATATATATATTTATATTTATAGCACGATATTGAATTTTTGGCCAATATCTGATATGTTAAAACTTATTTGTCCAATAACCAATACCAATACTGATATTTTCCCCCTAGACCTACTTACATACTACATATCTTTCTCTGCTGTGGAATTAAATAATGACATTATTCTGCATGGTCTTTGTCAGTTTGGCCTGCTACCAAATGCAGATGCCAAAAAGGGAGCTGAAAATGATGTAACACTTTACAAATATATAATATATATTTAAAAAAAACAGCGCCTTTTATATCAGTGAGTTATTTTGATGGTATGGCCGATATTTAACTTTATCGCTAATATCGGCCGATACCGATATCATGCCGATAATATCGTGCATCCCTATTTATAATGTAGTATTTTAACTCTACAGCAGAGAAAGCTACATAGTCTATGTATGTAGGTCTAGGTGAAACAATATTGGTATCGGTTATCAGCCAAATAAGTTTTAACATATTGATATATTGGATATCAGCCAAAAATCCAATATCGTGCACCCCTAGTTTAAAGATAACATAATTTATTTTACCTGGGTGGAAGTCAAGCCTTTCTGTCAGCTCCTCATTTATAAGGGTCTTTCTCCTCAGATCCTCCAGGAGACTCATTATGATCTTCTTTGCTCTCTGTTCTCGGGCCTTTGCGTTCAGCTTCTCCCGCTCTAGACTCTCCACTCTGCCCAAAGCTTCGCTGAGTCTGGCCTTTAGACGACTGGGCGAACTGGGCAATGCATAGGAGTGGTCCTTGTGGAAAGAAGGATGAAAACGTTTTCAGTGACGTTTATATCGTACCACTCGCCGTTGTTTGGTGCATTGCATATGTGCAGGCACGCATTCCTCATTCCATACCCGTAATATCACTGCCAGCACCGTATGAGAAAGAGAGAAAGGGTGCATGTATGTATGAGTGTCAGTAAAAGGGGGTGTGTATTAGGGCTGAACAATTAATTGCATTTTCAATAATATCGCGATATGAAAAAAAACAAGATTCTCTGATTGCAAAGGCCGCAATTTGGCTGGTCACGTGATCTGGTTACGTGACCGGCGAGTGAGCGGAGCAAATCAGAGCAGGGAGCGAGAGAAGTCAACACGGTGTTTTAAGCGGTTGCGCAATGGCGTCAGACTCGACAGACGCTGACACATGTGAAAGTTTGGTACCGTTGTTTGGAATTATTTTGGCTATAAAAAAAGAAGACGCTGCGCAACGACATGTGTCGTGCAGAACCTGCCTTGCTGCTGTCGCTACCTCTCGAGGTAACGCCACAAATCTTTACGCCAACGACCAGTGCTTCCACTTCAAGTAAGCAAAGTACCAGCTGACAGGGATCACTGACCGAACTGTTCGAACATAATTCGAAACTGCACTCGGAAATAACTCGAGCAATAACGGAGTTCATAGAGAAAGACATGATGCCCGTTAATATAGTGACCATGCCTGGGTTTACGGCTTTGGTGAACTGAAAACGCATCTATTCTCCCTGGCCTTCAACCTCAAATTAGTACCTGATTGATTCAAGTTTTTGGGAAATTGCATCAAATATGAAATAGTTTCTTGGTTTTTATTAGTACTATTATTTTATTGTTTTTTTTTACTGCAAATTTGATCATACTTTTATTTTTATTAAACTCGATTTAATTTCTTTTATCATATTTTTATCTACGATGTTGTAATTCTTGTGACGTACTTCGGTCAGCTGTGGTTGCTTTTTTAAATGTGCTTTATAAATAAACTTTGAATTGAATTGAACAATGGATAAGATTGCTTGCGTTCGTTGAAAAACACACGAAAAGAAGACGTTACAAAATAATTGCATATTAAATCGCAATATTGATGCAAAGAAAATTGCAACTAGAACGTTTTCCAAAATCGTTCAGCCTTAGTGTGTATGTGCTCACTTATTTATTTATTTACATGTAAAAAGTGTGCGCGTGAGTATATCCGGAAAGAGTTGCAGAAAGCAAGGAAGGGATTTTAATACGATGACACTGGCACAAGACATCGACTCACATCACTGAGCTCAGGTTCACTTTCAGGGACCTGCTGAAAAAGCTCCACTGGAAGGTTCTCTTCAGCTGTCCTTGAAGTTCTTGTGTTCCTCGTTGCTACAGACTTAAAATATACGACACAGAATACTTGGCATCCCACAATGTATAGTGTAATGCACAATACATCATGCAGAAAGAAACAATGGTTAAAACAGGTTTAGCAAAGTGTAATATTAACCTTTGTTTTACATATGAATCATACACATTTCTGTTAAAATTTACAGCAAAAAAAATAAAATTAAAAACACAACACCCACTCTTTGGAGATGAGATGTAAAGTTGAAGACTGATGGGCTCACACCCTCTCTAAGCCTGACAATCTGACCTGTTCGGTCAAAGTCCTCTGGCTTGAAATGTTCACTACAGAGCTTGGACGCCTCTGTAGCAACAAAACCTTCCCTTCTTATTGCAACTTCCCATTGCCTCCTTAATTCTGTGTTACTGGGAAACCTTCAAAATGTGAAGACAAAACACAGTAAGAGTTAATGAGTGAGAGAGAGAGAGAGAGAACCTGTCATGGTAATATACCAACATTATTGTTCATTCTTACTTGTGAAAGGTAATCCCACGTGATCTAGTTTCAATACTGCGCCGGTTATTGCAACCGTAGCCTGAACAAAATACAGGCATAGCTGCTCGTTTTGTGTTTTTACTCCGTTTGGATCTTTTTTTTTTTTTTTGAGAGCGAGAGAGGAGACCCATCCAATATGGCGGCGACGCAGGATGCGCCCCCACCCTTAATGAATCTGGACCCCAAGAATGAAAAGTCACGCATGCGCACAACGCATGAAACAGCCGAGATTGCACCCAAAGCTACTTTTAATTACACAGAACGGAAATGCCTCAACCGCAACTTCAAAACAAATGTTTTAATGTATGTATGTATGTTTTATTTATTCATTTCATTTCATCCAAACAACAAATATAATACAATTTAAAGAAAAGAAAAAAGATATACAATCACAGAAATAAAATGAAAGGCAGCAGAAGAAGAATGAGTTCTTATAATATCTGCCCCTTGTCCCCAAAATATATTCCAAACAAAATTACTATACAAAAGCAAGATGAATTAATAATAAAAAATAATAATAATAAAATAAAAACTTAGCTAAAATATAAGATCAACTGTAAACAATTTTAATGCCCGATAGTACTGTAATTTCCATCCTTTTCCCTTTTTTATGAACGGGAATGCTTATTTTTTTTAATATAATCTTTAATTAGTTTCTCGGTCAAATACTTTTACTCAACCTAGGTGAGCCAAGAAGAAATAACCTCGTTTATGCGGCTTTTATTGTGAAAATCCCAGGAGGAAGTTGTCCGTTTAGCCGTTCGGTGAGTCGGCGTTTCTTCTGTCCAGGCGGTGTTGGTGTTGGTGGGGAGGGAGCTGGAAGAAGGCAGAGCCTTGTCGCAGAAGGTGGAGTGCAGGTTACAGACAGTCCAAACGAACCGGGGTTCGGGGCTTTTGGTCCTTTTCGGCCCGGGGGACCGACATCACAGACGAGCCATACCCCGGCCGGAGGAGCCGCTAGGAGGGACACCGAGAGGGAAGAGGAGGAGGAAAACAAGAGGCCGGTAAGTTAATGAAAACATACAATTAACGGGGGCGGCCTTAACACCCCCCCCCCCCCCCCCCGCATGATTTGTTTTTGTTTCACATGTTTTGTTCGAAATCGCGTTGCCTTTACACACAAGTCGTCCTCCAACTTGTCTGCAGCATCCCGCCCCCCTCAGAGCCGCATCACCTCCAGCATTAGCTTAGTCATGAACACGGACAGGCCAACAATCAGCCTGGCTCATGTGTGTGGACGCGTCAGTGTCAGAACACACACACTCACACACACACACACAGTGTAGGAATAACAGCGAGCTTCTCGTGAATAGTTGTTTTTAGTTGTTTGGACCTGCGAGCTGCTGGGACCGAGTGGGACCGAGACCGCGTTGGATCTGGAGGTTGTTGCCGCTAGGCCTCGGCTAACAACACAAGCCTCCGAACCTCGGGGATAGATCCTGTGCAGATCTGACAGTTGACACCAATAATCCAGAAGTATCGTGAGTAAGGCCGAGCAAACATAGAGATAGGAGACAAGAGTCGGAAAATAATTCAGAAGACATGGAGGAAGTTAAAAAAAATCTTTGAACTTTATGAATGAATGAAGAGTGAAGAGCATCTCAGCGTGACCTCAGCAGAAGTAAGGAGTACCTTCAGGAGGATTAATCCGCACAAGGCAACTGGCCCAGACAACATCCCTGGAAAAGTGTTGAAGGAATGTACCGATCAGCTCTGCGAGGTGCTGGCAGACATCTTTAACACCTCACTTACCCTGGAGACAGTTCCCACCTGCCTGAAGACTGCCACCATCATCCCAGTCCCAAAGAGCTCTACAGTGACGGGTCTGAATGACTATCGGCCAGTGGCCCTCACCCCGATAGTCGCTTAAAGCTTCGAAAAACTGGTCATGACTCACATCAAAACAACCATCAACATCAACGAGGACCCTTATCAGTATGCATACTGTGAGAACCGATCAACAGAGGATGCCATCTCCTCTGTGGTCCGAGGACCCTTATCAGTATGCATACTGTGAGAACCGATCAACAGAGGATGCCATCTCCTCTGTGGTCCACACTGCACTCAACCACCTGGAGCAGAAAAACTCTTACGTCCGTATGCTCTTTGTGGACTTCACATCCGCCTTCAACACCGTGATCCCCCAAACCCTGATGGACAAACTATCCACACTAGGACTAAGCCCCTCCATCTGCAACTGGGTACTAGACTTCTTAACAAACAGACCACAGTTAGTGAGGATCCACAACCTCTCTTCCTCCACCATAACCCTCAGCACTTGTTCTCCTCAGGGATGTGTGTTGAGCCCCCTCCTGTTTACTCTGCTCACGTATGATTGTGCAGCTACCCATCCAGGCTGTCACATTGTAAAGTTTGCAGATGATACAGCGGTGGTGGGATGCATCACAAACAATGATGAGTCCAGCTACAGGCAAGAGGTGGAACACCTGGAGAGCTGGTGCAGAGAGAATAACCTTCACATCAATGTGAAGACGACAAAGGAGATGGTCGTGGACTTCAGAAGGAACAAAAACATCTACACCCCCCTGAACATAAGAGGATCCGCGGTGGAAGTGGTCTCCAGCTACAAGTACTTGGGTGTACACATGAATGACAACCTCAGCTGGAGCAACAACACCACCAGCCTGATCAAGAAAGCTCATCAGAGACTCTACTTCCTCAGACGGCTGAGGCGAGCTGGTCTGGGAAGCTCAGTCCTCACCTCCTTCTACAGGTGTGCAGTGGAGAGCATCCTGTGCTCCAGCATCAACGTGTGGCATGGAGGCTGCACAGCTGCAGAAAGAAAAGCTTTGCAGAGAGTGGTGAAGGCTGCACAGAAGATGTTGGAGTCAGTCTCCCCACCATCACAGACATCTACACCTCCAGATGCAGGAAGAGGGCCACCTGCATCATGAAGGACCTCACTCAACCAGCACACACACTTTTTGCCCCACTCCCCTCAGGAAGGAGGTTGAGAAGCATTAAGTGTAGAACCACTAGACTGAGAAAGAAGCTTCTACCCTGAGGCTGTTAGACTCATGAATCTCTAACTAGAATAATCACTGTGAAAAATCACATCATGTTGCTGCTGATCTGTTTCATGTTGCTGCTGATCTGTTTCATGTTGCTGCTGATCTGTTTCATGTTGCTGCTGATCTGTTTCATGTTAATGTGTTCATGCGTGCTCATCTGCTCACAGACTCATGTTCATGTTTGTGCTGATGTTCAATGTTTTATGTTATGAGTGCTTAGTGTATATTTAGTTGATGTTTCTCTTAGTTCATATCTTAGATGCTGTTAGATTACTTAGATTACTGTTTTTCTTATACATTTTATTGTTGGATGTAACTGGGACACTGTGTACATAATTTCGCTCCACCACAATAAAGAATCTCTGACTCTGAGTGCCGAACTGTCTAGATTAGCATCTAAGTGGGAACTCGTGTTTGAAGAAGTGAAGCAATTGAAAGAAGTGATAAGTAATAAAGCCAAAACAAAAAAAAATAGCTGAACTAGAACAGAAAGTAGACGACATGGAACAATACACAAAAATAGACAACTTGGTGATCACTGGACTGGAAGTTAGGAACCAAACTTATGCAAGAGTTGTTGCTGGTACTAACACTACAGAAGACGCACCACAGGAAGAACTACAGACTCTGGAGGAGCAAGTAGTGAATTTTTTACAAAGCAAAGACATTGACATCGAACATGAGGACATTTCAATCTGTCACACTCTGCCCAACAAATCAGATAAAGCCAAACCATCCATAGTCATCAAGTTCATTAGCAGGAAATCAAGAAACCATGTAATAATGCAAGCAAAAAAACTGAAGGGAACAAATGTTTACATAAACGAACATCTAACTAAAAAAAAGAAATATTGCACGTGAAGCAAGGTGGTTGAAAAAACAGAAAAAAAATAGCATCAACTTGGACAAGAAATGGAAACATCTGGATCAAACTACAGGAAGGATCTCAGGCTAAAATAATAAAAGACCTGAAGGATCTGGAAAAACTAAAATGAGCTCAGGAGATGACAGATGATAAATCATTGACATAACTTCACAAACAAGAAATTAACAAATATAAAACAAACAAACAAATACATTAAAACATGGCAACATACGAAGACTTAGAGTTTAAAATATACAATGTTGAAGATGCGATTGATACAATTTTTTCCCTGAAATAAAAGACTGAATATTACAATGAAGAACAGTTTAATGACATCAATATAACGAATGGAAGTCTCTCTATTATTCACTTTAACAGTAGAAGTTTAAATGCAAATATATCCAAAATAACAGATTATTTAAAACAGCTAAACAGAACCTTTACAATAATAGCACTGTCAGAGACATGGCTCAACGATGAAAACACAACTAATGTTCACATGGAAGGGTATGAATTATATCATGTGAACAGAAGCAACAAAAGAGGTGGTGGAGTGGCTCTATTTGTTAAAAATGAAATAAAATGTAAGTTAATTAATGAAATGTCAATAGTTGTTGATAATATCATAGAAATAATAACAATAGAAATAATAAACAAGAATGATAAAATCATATTGATAAGTTGTGTATATCGATCTCCGGGATCAAATATAGAAATATTCACTGATAAAATCGTACAACTATTGGACAAGAGTTTTAATAAAAGCATTTTTTTCTGTGGAGATTTTAATATTGACCTGGGAAATAAAACAGATTCAAATAACATCAGTACATTTACAAATTCATTGTGTAGTTTAAATCTTTATCCGTTAATATCAAAACCAACAAGAATTACAACTCATAGTGCCACAATAATCGATAATATTTTCACTAATGTAACAAATGGGGATGTGATGGGAGGTATTTTAACGAATGATTTAAGTGATCATTTACCAGTTTTCATGATTTATAAAAATGATCAAAGCATTACAAAAGAAATTACAATTAAGGAAAAAAAACAATAAACGCATCAAAAAAGCAATGGACAATTAAAAGATGATTTACATAAACAAAGCTGGAAAGACGTGTATGTTGATGATGTGAACAGATCATATGATGAGTTTATGAATATTTTGGGAGCTCTGTATGAAAAGAATTGTGTGCAAAATAATTGTACAAAGAGAAATGTTGTTGACCAACCATGGATGACAAAAGGGTTGAGAAATGCTTGTAAAAAAAAAATAATTATTTGTATACATGTTTCTTGAAATTGAGAACACAAGAGGCTGAAGAGAAATATAAGAAGTATAAAAATAAATTAGTAGCGATTATAAGGAAACACAAGAAGGAATATTATAGTGATTTATTAAATAAAAGTAATGGTGATATGAAAGCTACATGGCGAGTAATAAATAGTTTTCTGAAAAGTCATAAAGCAAAAACAGGTATTTCACAATATTTTTTGAAGGATGACGATGAAATCCATGATGAAAATGAAATTGTAAATGGATTTAATCATCATTTTGTGAACGTTGGATCAAGACTTGCAGCTAAAATACCAAAAGTAGACAATGATGTGAACCATTCAGTTATAAGTTGTGACAACAGTATTTTTCTTAATGGAACTGACAAAGAAGAAATAATGAGTGTTGTAAAAAATCTTACAGATAAGAGATCAAAAGACTGGGTGGACATGGATATGATGTTTGTAAAGGACATGATGAGTTATGTTATCGAGCCGTTTACATATATTTGTAATTTATCATTTTCAAAAGGAATATTTCCAGACAATATGAAAGTAGCTAAGGTAGTTCCTCTCTTTAAGAATGGTGATAAATGTGTGTTCAATAATTATAGACCTATATCCTTATTACCACAGTTCTCAAAAATTCTAGAAAAACTATTTGTGACCAGATTAGATAAATTTATTACTAAACAAAACATTCTAAGTAGCAGTCAGTATGGGTTTAGAGCAAAAAAACTCTACATCAATGGCTCTCATGGAATTAATAGAACAAATAACTACTGCTGTCGATCAAAAACAGTATTGTGTTAGTATTTTTGTTGATTTAAAAAAAGCATTCGATACTATTGACCACACTATTCTCCTTGAAAAATGAAATAAATATGGTATAAGAGGACCAGCATTACACTGGGTATCTAGCTATTTAAAAGATAGGAAACAGTTTGTACAAATAAATGGTGTAAGATCTGACCTGTGCAATATCACTTGTGGAGTTCCTCAAGGCTCTGTACTTGGACCAAAGTTATTTATTTTATATGTGAATGACTTAGTGAATGTATCAGGACTCCTCAAATGTGTCCTTTTTGCAGATGACACCACATTTTTCTGTTTGGGTAAAGATGTAAAACGGATGTTGGAATTGATGAAGACAGAATTTGATAAAATACAAACTTGGTTTAAACTTAATAAATTATCATTAAATTTAGATAAAACTAAATACATGATATTTAGTAACAAAAAGAGAACTGTTGATCCATTTAAAATTGAGGGTGTTGAGATTTGTAGAGTTAATGAGATGAAATTTTTGGGTGTAATCATTGATGAACAGCTAACATGGAAAAATCACATCAATTCTGTAAGAACAAAAATATCTAAATCTATTGCAGTACTATACAAAGTCAGGGAATTATTAAATGATAAAGCTCTGTACATGTTGTATAACACAATCATTGTTCCACATTTAATCTATTGCATTGATGTTTGGGGGAAAGCATGTAAAACATTTACAAAACCTATTTTTATTTTACAGAAAAGAGCTGTAAGAATTATCACCAGAAAGCATTACAGTCACCCATCAAGCACATTATTTTATCAACTGGAGTTATTAAAGTTCCATGATTTAGTAGATTACAGTATTTTATCAGTTATGTATAGGGCTCAAAATAACACATTACCATTAAATATCCAAAGAAATTTTGTTAAAAGACAAAGTTGTTACAATCTTAAGGGGATAGAGATATTTGTCAAACCAAAATTCAGAACTAGTCTGAAGGGAAGGTCTACCTCAATCCAAGGAGTTGGATTGTGGAATGGTCTAGAGAGTGATGTGAAAAATGCCAAGTCAATGTGCACATTTAAGAAAAAGATCAAAACTGGATTGTTAAAAAATATATATATATGAAGTAGCTTAGTGTGTGTTTTGTATTAGAATTAGATAAATTAAAAAGAGTTATTCATTTTGTTCTGTTACTTGAAAATTATTATGATTGAAATAACTGTTTGAAAAAAGGGGCAGATATAATAAGATTTTTTCTTCTTTCTGCTGCCTTTCATTTTAAATCTCTTGTATTTTTTTTTATATTGTTATGGAATTGTTTTTTTTGTTTTTTTTTTAATGAATAAACTTTATACCATACCATATTAATTATTAAATGTTAATATTAGGTCCTGAACGCATGTATCTGACAGCCAGGAGGCCTCGACCAGAGTGCATACAGTGGCGAGGTCTGGCTATGGCAGACCGTTGTATCATACAATCAAACCACAGTTCTCTCACTAATTACTGATTTATACATTATTAGTAGCACTCATCTTAGTCATAATAGCATTTAACAGTCACAATTAAAAGAAAATTAAAACACCATTCTTACTAGTAAGTTACATTTCAAGGTGAGTGGGATTGTGTTGGTTGGAAATATGTGTAAAATGTAAGCAGCATTCCTTGAAGGAATGCATATCGCCCGCCACCTTGCATGTCAAAGTTTCGACTCAAGATGGTCAAACTCAAAAATACTTCATTGATCCCAAAGGGGAATTAAATGTCGTCGTAGCTCATTGTCCTGGTTTCATTCAAGAGTTGTTATAGATGCTGATAGCTGTGGACAGGAAGGATCTCCTGCAGCGAATCCGAAAAATCTGGCCACAGATACGATTAGTCCACCTGGATCCAGCTTGCTGTCAAATCCGGCGGGCCTCTCGGTCCTCCTGGGCAGCAGGACTGCAGAATTCCTCCCTGAGTGATGGTCACTCCTCCCAGCAGTCTGCGGAGCTCCTCGTCGCCACGGACAGACAGCTGAAGGTGCTGGGGGATGATCCCGGCCCTCCCGTTATCACGAGCAGAGTTTCCCCACCAGCTCCAGGATCTCGGCAGTCAGGCACTCGAGCTCCACCGCCAGGTTGACGGGAATTTGTCCACGGTGCCTCTTTTTCAACTCATTTATGATTTGGAGCTGGAGGTATTTGGTCTCTTGAGATGTTAATCAGCTGCTCCTGGTTGTTAAAAAAAAAAAAACACCTTGTTGCCATGGTTACGCATCATAACAAACGACCAAAAATAAAAAGGTTTCAGTAAAAATCCTTCCAGCTACACAGCATCCGATACCAGAGGAGACAATCATGTGAAAAGAGTGTTGCGCGATATGTTAGTGCTTAGAGTACATGTTCGGGATAAGTCTCAGCTACTACCACTCCAGGTTTTAGCTCATTATATCTAAAATTTTGTTTCTACGGTTGTGTGTATGTCATTGTCTGTTAGCAAAATACGTCATGAATTAGTGGACAAACTTTACGGAAACTCGCTAAAAGTAATCACTGGGTGGGCATCCACTACCGATTACCTTTTGAAGTCAACCCTATTCAAGATGGCCGCCGCAGCAAAGACAAGATGGCTCCAACTCACTCAGTTTCGCAGCTAACGAGATCAAATTTGACGTGGTAGTAGTCGAGAGGCGTCTCCACGGAATGCTCGTTGACGGATCGCGTTACGCCTTAGTTTAAATTTTTGCCGTGCGAGGCGGCGGGTGCGAGGAATGCTGCTGAACTGAGCGTGCTGTAGTTAACAGGTGGAGAAACAACCGTCTCTGATGTGTCTCCTCCACAGCAGCAGCCATGGCAGACGCGGAGCTGGACTTCCAGACAGGCGATGCCGGGGCATCGGCCACCTACCCCATGCAGTGCTCCGCCCTGCGCAAAAACGGTTTCGTTGTGCTCAAAGGTCGACCCTGCAAGATCGTGGAGATGTCCACCTCCAAGACCGGAAAGCACGGCCACGCCAAGGTGAGCGAGCCGCCGCACAGGATGCTGATCATACCAGAAATTCAGATTCAGATCTTTCTGTAAAACTAGAATTAAAAGAACACAAATAATATATTTTTCATTCGTTGTTTATCCTGAACGTTTGACCGTGCATTCTTCGAAACGACACCTTTCTAATAGTGCGAATGTTCATGAAGCATCGTGATCCATTTTTCTTCCGTAGGTTTTTCGCCCTGCAGTTTTCAAGCTATTTCAGCAAATCGTATATTAAAACGTTCAGCTCTTTCAGGACAATCCTGCTATGACGTTGGTTTTGGTGCAACTTTAGCTTTTTGAAATATTTAGCCTTTTCTGCCATTTTTTTAGCATATAAAATGAACTGAGCTCATTTTACATGCTTCAAATCTTTAGATGTGTTTATAACCTTTTACTGCTCCTTTCACTTTTTGTTCTGCTTCAGCTTCGTTCAGCTTCCTTGTGCAAATTTAAACATTTATTTCAGCTAATTTCAGCTGTTTATTCAGCTGTTTTGTGCTCCTTTCAGATTATTTCTGCTAACTACAACATTTTTGCGCTTTTTAAAACTTCTTTCTGATAATTTCAGGTTGTTGTGCTCCTTTCTGCTTATTTATACAAGTTTCAGCTTTTTCTGCTATTCAGCTACTATTTAGCTGTTTTATGCTAATTTTATCTTTTTCCGCTAATTCCACATTTTTTTGCAATCATTTAGATTTTTCAGCCTAATTCAGCAAAAATGTGCTCTCCACTTGCTTCTGGTAATTTAAGCTTCTTTTTGTTTTTTTAAGCTACTTTTCAGCTGTTTTTGCTCATTTAAGCTTTTTTCAGATAATTTCCACTTTATGCTCATTTCTGCTTCTTTCAGCCTCATTGAGTAAACATGTTCTTTTTGCTTTCTTCTGCTAATTTAAGCATGTTCTATTTTTCTGTTAAATTTTTAGCATTTTTAGCTAATTTCAGCTATTTTCAGCCTAATTAACTTCTTTATGTTAATTTCATCATGTTATCCCCTTTCAGTTTTTTTGTTGCTTTTTTCAGCTACTATTTGGCTCTTTTTGTGCCAATTTTAGCTTTTTCAGCTAATTCCACTTTTTTTTTTAGCTCATTTCAGCTCTTCCTGCTTTCTTCTGGTATTTAAAGCTTCTTACTGCCTTTTCAGTAAATTGTCAGGGTTTTTTATATATATATTTTCAGCCTTTTTAAACTAATTTCCAAATTTTTCTGCTTATTTGAACCTAATTCAGCAAATATGTGCTCTTTCTGCTTTTTTCTGATAATTTAGGCTTGTTCAGCCATTTCAGCTAAATTTAAGTTTTTTTTTGTTTTAGCTAATTTCAGCTGTTAATTAGCAAGTTCTTCAGCAATAAGCATTCACACTAGTTTCTCTAGTTGATTGCTAATTTGTGAAATTGTTACATTATTAATTTATGTTATTGTAGCAGTATGCATGGATATTCACAACAATTATACAACTAAATCTTCTATTCCATTTTCTAATCTTTTTAAATTATTACATAAAAGTACTTTTTGTCTCTTCTTACACCTCTGACTTTAAATTTAAACACCTTACAAATGTTAGAGTTAGCTAACTTTCAGACTTTGCTCATGTTATCAGTTAATTAGCTGCTTAGCTCTGTTGCATTCACTGACCACATTAAGACATTTAAGTTTTTAAATGCCAAATTGATTGGTAAAGCTAACTGGGCTGAAAATCTGATTATTTTGGTTTCCTGTTGAGAAACTGGTCGATTTTTTTTTTCTTAAATCATCCAAGACGGCTCCAGTACTGAGTTTATACTCCTGAATATTACGTAAAGTATTTATAGATGCATTGAAGTGACCTGTAGGCAGAATGATCGCAGGCTGTAGTTCGAAAAGCTTTTACCACAACTGAGATTTGTGTAAAAAAAAATATGAGTCCATAAAGACCATGTAGTGTCCCAGGAACTAAATAAGCCGATAATCTTCCTAAAACTACGTATTTTTCGGACTATAAGGCGCATTAAGTGAAACAAGTTAATTTTGACAGATTTTTGAGCCCCGTGTACCACATAATATCAGTTTGAGGTCAGTAAACACAACCAGAATTAATGCATAAGGCTCACCAGATTATAATGCTCACCGGATTATAAAGCTCACCAGATTATAAAGCTCACCAGATTATAAGACTCACTGTTGATGTTTGAGAAAATTAAAGGATTTGAAGTGCTTCTTATAGTCCGAAAAATACGGTACCTTAAAATGACTATTTTCTAACGGGTATCTCTTCAGAAATAATCCTTTTACCTTCCTTTGAAATTGACCATTTTTCTCTGCCAGCTGCCGTCGTTTCGGGAAATCCTTTCGTATAAAGTTTGGTGTCATTGTGAGGCTTGGGAAGTCCCCTTTTTAAATATACGAAGAAATCCCCGATCCCGCCTCTCCAGACCAATAAAAGTGGAGTTTTCAAACTGACACTCTCGTAAACAAAAACTAGCTTGTTGCTAACGGGATAAATCTCTAAAATTTCAACGAACTGTGAATCATCATTTTGACGCTGATGAGGTGAAGAAATTGAAAATAAAATCACTTGGTATTGGAAAAAGTTCCTCGTTGGGACTCAGTATGCCAGCACCGGTCACTCTTTTTTTCTCATCTTTTGCTCGTGCGCAGGTTCACCTGGTTGGGATCGATATCTTCTCCGGCAAGAAGTATGAAGACATTTGTCCCTCCACTCACAACATGGACGTCCCCAACATCAAGAGGATGGATTACCAGGTGAGCTGGACCGGGTCCACGCTTGAACTCTGAACTCACTTCACCAAAAAACAACTACTTTAAAAAAAAAAAATAAAAAAAATTTAAATTAATTTGGCATTTAAATAAAGATTTCTAACTCTTAAAGGCGTCCCTGAAAGCACCACAAAGTTATATGATAGTTTCAAAGTAAACATTTGCAGTCAGTCCTTTGGGATTTAATCAGTTTTTTTTTATTTTTTTTATATACTGTATGTTTTGGACTATAAGGCGCTATATGAATTTTGGTTGGTCTCTCTCAGCTGATCGGGATCCAGGACGGGTATCTGTCCCTGCTCCAGGACAGTGGTGAGGTCAGAGAGGACCTGAAGATTCCTGAAGGAGACCTGGGGAAAGAAATCGAGAGCCGGAACGAAGCCGGAGAGGAGATCCTGGTCAGTCCCGCCACCCGGCTGCTGTTTAAAGCCACAGCGTGTTGTCGCCTCTAAAGGTCCGATCTGGTTCCTCGTTCCTCTTTCAGATCACCGTTCTGAACGCCATGGAGGAAGAGTACGCAGTCAGCATCAAAGCTTTGGGGAAATGAGCCGCTGCAGGTAAATACAGACCGGCAGGACCCTCGCACCGCAACCCGGACCTGCCTGAACAAGAGACTGTGGTTTCCTATCACTTCAAAGCGTTGCTAATTACATGTATGCATATCTGCTGCTCGGGAAGGATCTGAGTGTGTACTATTATACTTTATGTACATAAATGTTTGAACTGAACTTCCTAGATTTACCACTGACTGCAAAAGTATTCACCCCCTTGGTAATCTGTCGGTTTTGTTGCCTCACTGGGCTTTAGTGAAGCTTTTATCCAAGGTTCTTTATTGTCACTCACATCACATGTGGTACATGAGGTGGAACGAAATTGTGAACTCACGATCCCAGTTACACTCAAAAATAGCAATAATTTAAAGTATTACAAAAGAAACAGTGTACAAAGATCTAAGATTTACGGTAAACACTAACAATGTAATATAATACGGTGTATTAAACAGCAGCCTGTTCATGAGTCTGTTGTGAGCAGATGGGTATGAATATAGCAGCTTAAAGGCAAGAGATCAGCAGCATGGATAATCAGCAGCACAGATAAAGTGACATAACCAATTAAAGTGACATTATTTTAGCAGGGTGCCAACAACTGCCGGCACAGACGTAGCGCTAAGCTAGCGGCGCGCAATACAGACGCGCTAGCTAAAAAAGGCTACAGATGTAGCCCTCGCACTGAGCCGCCCCCCAGGCCGACAACTGTCGGCACAAACAAAGTGCATCAAAGACGTGTCTCCGTCTCCACCCCCGGCCTGCTTGAAATCTGCCTCGAGGCAGATTTCTTTGACCCTAGCAACAGATGATGATTGAAATACGATTGGATATAAACTCCATTTAAACATTTGCTGCTGGAAGCTGTGAAATGAAGAAGACAATTCATAATAATAATAATAATAATAATAATAATAAAGGAAAAAATAGACTAAAATGTAAGTTAGTGATTCTGAGCGTGTTCAGGCCAGCAGAGAAGTCACAACAGCCCTGTTGTCCTGAACTCTAGCCCGTTTGCCTGGGAAGTCCGGTTCGTTTGGGGAGGTGTGAACGCGCCATCAAACTCTGTCACGGAACAAAAAGGTGAACTCTGGCCCGGTCTAAAACCTAGGTCTCGGTCCGGTAGAAGAAAACTCGAGTGTGGTTCTAGTACAGTGTGAAGGTTGGCAAACAGGGCACCGCTCCGCAAGCAGGAAGTGGACTACAGTGCAGGGTAAACAAACACGCATTTCTCTAAACTCTTATGGAGCCGTCAGCTGCCTTGTGTGAAAAACAATATTCTCCATGGTCTTCTCTCATATCTTCTGCTCATGCTGAGTCCATTGTTGAAAAATGGCAAAATAAAACTCTTAAAATCGTTAAAATTTGACGCTACTCCGTTTTTGTTTTTATTTCCAAAAGAAGAAGAAGTGTCTTCTTCAGAGGTTTTTGTGTTGTTTCTTTCAGTAGTTCTTGGTGCAGCGCCCCCACAGGCGAGTGGGGGAACAGGTTGTCTCGACTGCACAGTGCAGTGTGAATGCAAACGCAGCAGCTCAAATGTAAACAAAATGTTCTGAATATTGGTCCCCAACCGAACCGAGTCTACTGGACTATCAGGTGTGAAAACAATCTTTGCTGGTCCTGACAGTCCACCAGTTTGTAGAGACGCCTGTTGCAGCAGCCGGTGTCCTTAGGTTTGTCTCCACGATCTTGGTTCATGGAACTCCTGAAGTTTTGGTTCATTCTTCGTGATCAAACTGCTCGAGCTCCTTCAAGTTGGTGCTCCTCGTGTCCAACAATGTTTCAGTCAAAGCCAGCGGTTGACTGAGGTCTGTCTGGATTTTAACTGGACCAGTCCAGGACTTGACCCGTTTGGGGTGGTTGTCCTGCTGGAAGGTGGACCGCTGTCTCAGATCCTCTGAAGAATTTCTCCACATTTTCTTCCATCTACGTTTATGGTTCCTGCTAAGGAAAAACTTCCCCGCAGCATGATGCTGCCACCACCGTGCTTCACTGTAGAGAAGTAATTTTACCAAAGACGGGGCGTTGTTCTCCTAAAAATTTGACTCATCTTCCACACGTCTGGGAAAGAAATTCCAAATGTTCCCACATTTATTTTTCCGTAAAGTTCAGTCATTCCACTCCCTGAAGCTTCTGGTGGTCTTGGTCCGTCCTCCCGTCTCTACAGAAGAACCGCTCCATCAACGGACGACCTTCTCAGCAGGTTTGCTGAGGTCAGTTATAAATGTCTAAAAATAGATTTAATGGAGCTCAGAGTTTCAAAGTTGAGGATTTTTTTTGTTTTATTCCAAACATGATCTGTAACTTTTTCATTATTTTGTCTCTGACACGTAGAGACTTCCTTGGTCTTCATGATGCCTCTTATTTGGTGATGGACCTCACTCCTCAGAGGTTGTTATACAATTATTCTGTAAAATTTGAGGTTGAACGGCAACAAAATCAAAGGATGGAAGTGGTTGAATGCTTTTGCAACTCAAAAGAGTTTGTTTTTTTTGTACATTATGGAGCATCGTTGCTCTTTTATTTTTCTGCTGGTTACTTTTAATTTTGCAACACACTCACTTCCTGTTTATCTCAAACGCCTCATGATGTCATTTAGCTGCTATTTTTAAGCACTTTTTATTTTCTACCCGTCACATCATCGGCTGTATAATCGAGCGATTCCCCTGTGGAGGCTGAAACTCATTAAAGTTTTTTTTTTTTTTTTTTTTTTTGAGTGTCTTTGTGCTTCCTGACTCCGCCCTCATTGTAGTTCTGTTTCAGATGATCCGCTGGATCCGAGGAGGAAAGGAGGCGCTAATGCATCATCAGAGCTAGTCTTTTTTCTTTAATATCTTTTCTTCAGTCTTTTGTTTTTCACACCCCCTCCCTCCGTTTTCTGACTCTCCATTAGAGGTCTTTAATAAATGCAATTAAAAACTAGAGAGAGTGCATTTCCTGCAAAAATGCAGTGTGAATGCTTATTGCTGAAGAACTTGCTGAAAAACAACTGAAATTAACTATAAACCTGCTGAAATGTAGTTGAAATGGAAGAACAAGCCAAAGTTAGCAGAAAGAACACATATTTGTTGAAATGTGTTTAAATATTCAGAAATTAGCAGAAAATTTAGGAAAGTAGCTAAAAAGGCTGAAATTAATTTTTAAAGATGGCTGAAATGTAGCTGAAAGGCAGAATGAAGCTTAAACTACCAGAAGGAAGCAGAAAGAGCTTAAATGAGCTCAAATTCATTCAACCTTTATTCAGACAGATTAATCTCATTGAGCCTCGAGGACTCATTTACAAGAGAGACCTGATTTCAACAAAGAGTGATGACAACAATAAAGAGTTATAAAAAGTCATACAGATTTTTTTTTTAATAACAAATAGGATGGCTAAAAAAAAGAAAAGTAACAAAAAAACAGCTAGATTCTAAGGTGAATGTAGAAAACTAAAAACAGGAACATGTCTGCATTGGTCCCTGCCAGGAGTCCAACAGATGTTTAAAGCCACTTAGAGAGGTCAAGGTCGAGAGCTTCAGATCTTTTTGTCCAGTTAACCAGTGAATACTGGGTGCAGTGGTGGGTACGATAATCACAGCCAGTTATGAATCTTAGTGCAACATGATAGACAGCATCCAACATCTGCAGGGTTCTTGTAGGAGCGTTCATGTAAATAATGTCTCCATAGTTTGATTATCGTACCCACCACTGCGCTCTTGAATTACCTATAACCTAGAATTGCACCGCTCAAGGTGGCTGCATGTTGGAGCAGCTCTGTTAAATTCATTTTGAGATTTTGCTTTTGGAAACTTTTAATTCCTCTTTTTCTGGATGTAAATCAATTTTTTTTGGATGATTGTTTCCTCTGGTATCAGATGCTGTGCAGCTGGAAGGATTTTTACTGAAACTTTTTTAGCTTTGGACATTTGTTATGATGCATAACCATGGCAACAAGGCAGTTTTCTACAACCAACAGCAGCTGATTAACATCTCAAAAGCTCAAATAATATCTCAACTTCAGCCCAAAATCTCAAATGAGTTGAAAGGATGTTCTGTGAATGCATTCTCATCTACCTGCCAGCTGTGCTCGAGTGCCTGACCACTGAGATCCTGGAACTAGCAGGAAACACGGCTCATGACAGCGGAAGGACATGATCGTCCCTCGGCACCTACAGTTGTCTGTCTGCAGCAATGAGGAGCTCGACAGACTGCTGGGAGGAGTGGCCATCACTCTGGGAGGAGTCCTGTCCAGCATTCAGGTGGTCCTACAGCCCGGGGGAACCGAGAGGCCAGCCGAGTCTGGGTGGACGGATCGGACGGCATCTGCAGCCAGTTTCTTAGGATCCACTGTGAGATGGACCTTTGCAACAGATCCTTCCTGTCTACAGCCATCAGCATCTATAACATCTCTTAATGAAATGAGGATAACGAGTTACAACAACAAATAATTTCCCTCTGGGATTAATAAAGTATTTTTGAATTGAATTAACTGAGCTCAGCTTATTTTCTATGAGAAAAAAATGGCAGAAAAGGCCAAATATTTCAAAAAGCTAAAGTTGCACCAAAAGTCTTAGCAGAACTGTCCTGAAAAGAGCTGAACGTTTTGATTTATGATTTGTTGAAGTGGCACAAAAATTGCAGAAAGAGAACGATGAACGTATGGAAGGAAAATGGATCACAGTAGAGCGAACGCTTCAGAAACATTCACACAGTAAAACCAGATTTAAACGATCAGTGGGAGGTTTTGCTGAGGTTTGTCTTTTTATACTTGATTCACGAGTTTCACTTCCAAATCTGTGCAAAAGGTTCAAGGTATGAAAAATAATACTCTGTTTATTTTCATCAGTTTGCAAAACGCAAACCGAAGAGAAACCAAAATCTAAAGAGCGTTGGTGTAAACCATCGCTCGTCTTTAAAACGGCATCAACTCTTCAGCTCCAAGTCTTTATTTACAGAGCAGCTGCTGGTTTAACTGGCCGAGGAACAAGCAAACTGCTGGTGAGACGATGGAAGACAGCTCAACGTCTCAGGTCAAACTGAGCAGGAACGAGACCCGAGCTGGTTCAGCTCCATCAAGTCTGTTCCGGGTTTAAGGTTCTTAAAGAACCACAAAGAAACAGCGTGGACTTAACGGTCCAACCAGGAAACGTACCGAAGGACTCGTCACGGTTACTTCCTCCAGAAACCACACGTTCAGCAGAATCATCATCTCAGACCTGATGGAGACCTGTTAGATCCACTTCAATGATCTGATACAGGATCAACCTCTAAACTAGAGGTCAAGACGTTTAAAACGATCAAAGAGCCGCATACAGAACTGGAAAATAAAGTTTCTTTATGACGGATAATCTAGAAGACATTTTTCTTATTGTAACACAGCTAGCATGATTTATTAAACAAATATTTCCAATATCCTTTAGGAATATAAGACGTGTTGTAAACTGGCTCTTGTGACAATATGTTAGCTTAACATGTTATCTTAACATGTTATGTGTTAGCTTAACATGTTACGTTAGCAGATGTTTCTAAGTCTTTAAAGTTCAGTGTAGTTCTGGGAACACGATGACTTAAAAAATGTTTTGTTTTTTTAACTAAGGATACTGGGGGCCTGATGGAGATTGTTCAAGTGGCCCTTGGGCCTTAAGTTGCCCACATCTGCTCTAAACCCAGGTCCAGCTGCTGTCCTGACAGGTCTGATCAGAACTGAACCCAAAGACAAACCTCCAACGTGAACACAAGACAACGTGTCTGTAGGCCTCCGTGAAAACTTCAGGAGGTTCCTGCACGTTCATTTCTGCACAGAGCTGGAGATCTGGACTACTGGTGTCTTCATCGGAGAGAAACACCTGCAGATGACGGTCCTTCATACAGGACCATCCAGATTTGTTCTGCAGCAGGACCACACATCCAGCTAACGTCACCGAGGACTGTCCTCAAGAAGAAGCTGGACCTGCTCTCAACATCCTGAAGAAGAACTGCATGATGAGAGAACATCTGAGGTCGGTTCAACGAGCCTGGAGGGAAACCACCAGCAGAGCTGCTCCAAACACTTTCTGCTGATTGAAGAACCAAAGCTGTTTTGAAGACGAAAGATTCTAAAAATAAACTTTTTTTTTTTCAGATTTCTTTCACTTTTTTGTAGTTTAATGGAAAAAAAAAAAATTCTTGGTTTAAAGCATTTTTCCCCACACCGGTCTAAAACTTTTGCTCAGTGTCGTCCCTCATGGTAAACCGACTTCACCTACGTTGAAGTTCCACACCTCTGATTTATAAAGTTCCTCTCTGCAGAAACTTTCACAGCTTTGAGTTTTTGTTTTGGACAGATGATGCGTTTCAGCAGCTTTCTGTTCCCACGGCGAGGCAGGATGTCGTCATGACGATAAAAACGACACAAACAACTGAGCGTGGTTTGTTTTTATTCAACTAGAAAGTTCCTGGAGAAACTGAGGGACTGCCACGGGGCAGCCATTTTTAATTTGACGTATTATGTGTTGGGGTTCTCAGCTGCCACTAAACCAAACTTCAGCTTAAAATGGTAAAATATCAATGAGCTAGTCATGTTTTTCTTTGAAGCTATGGAGGCCAACTTGGATTTTTGATTTGGATTCAATGTGATCAGGAACATTCTCAGCTGTAACCACCAAATTTCAGCTCTAAATGTGTAAAAGCAGCTGAGTTAAGTCATTTAAATGTAGCTTTGGTGGCCATTTTTATTCATTATTTATTCAGCATTGCTCTCAGCGGCCACCACACCAAATTTCAGATTATCATCTCTACAAACGGCTGATTTAGTTTTTTTTTTCCCCCTTTGTAGCTCAGGTGGCCATCTTGGATATTTGATTTGCAACCAGTCTGGGGAAGAAAAAATAAATAAAAATGGCATCTTTGTTTGCAAATTACGTTGCCATGGTAACTCAAAACGCCAATAAAAGTAAAAGCACACATCACGGTGCCGAGTCAATCGTTTTGATATAACATTTGTGGGGGTACACTTTGTGGTTTGGGTCACATTAAAGTTGACAGAAGAGTAAGATGTAAAGTTTAGAAACCCTTGTCAGGTGGATAATAATTAGGCAGTCCCCGACTAGAAGTCAACACCTCGATGTGAGTGAAACTAATCGACAATCGATCGCTTTCAGGGAACTTGTAGCAGAAACTAAACGTCCACCGTGTTCTCATCGTGAGCACAAAGAGACGAGCTGCGGCCATGAAGTCTGCTCTTATACAAAATATTAACAGCTCTGCTCCTCGACGGCTTCCTTCAACAAAAATAAGCTATTTTTACAACTCCACTTTATTTAAAGTCGTGTAGAGAAAGTGTTTACAGAAGCGTGTGAGGTTTGGGACAGTCTGTGGACTCCAGAAATGAGACTTTACCAACAATAAAACCAATAACTTGACTTGAACCAGCGTCGTTTTTGAAGTGGGGCCAGTTAGAGGTCGGACGTGAAGCGGCGCGGTGGCTGTGACGGACGTGTGGACCGTGGCGTTGGTCACTTGCCGTGGTGGTAGAACCTCTGGCTGCTCTGGCTGTGGGGGAGGAAGCTGTGTCGAGGAGCGCCCTGAGGAGAGCTCTGGAACGGGGCCTGAAGAAAAATGCATTTCAAACTAAAGTTATGTTTTTACATCTAATGAGAATTTATTTAACAAACAAACAAAACAAAAAAAAACCCAGCAGCATTAAAAAATGTAAATAAAACAAGAAATCCTTTTTAAAGCAAACATTCCGTTCAGGTTTTATTTTATTATAATAAAGTTTACAGCCTCGATTTAGGGAGGAAGAGAGACGTGACGGGGTAGTTCAGATGTCTTGAAATGAGGTTCAGTGGAAAGGTTGTGAACAACTATCTTACCTGTTGCAGATAAACTCTTTAAAACAACCTCAGTTTGAAGAATCAAGTTAAATTCTGATTACTGCCGTCTTGAAACAACTAAAACATTTCATATTTGATAAACCTTCACTGTTGTCAGCGTCACATTAGTTGGGTATTTCCATTGAATTATGGGTAATTACATTGAATTATGGGTATTTACATAGAACAATGGGTATTTTATTGAATAATGGGTAATTACATTGAACTGAGTATTTACATAGAATTTACATTGAATAACGGGTATATATAATAATAATAATAATAATAATAACAATAATAATAATAATAATAATAATAATGGGTATTTAAATTTAATTATGAGCCAGTTGTGGTGGTTCGGGCATCTGGGATGTCCCCTGGGCGCCTCCCTAGAGAAGTGCTTTGGGCATGTCCAACTGGGAGGAGACCCCGGGGAAGACCCAGGACACGCTGGAGAGACCATGTTTCTCGGTTGGACTGGGAACACCTTGGAGTCCTCCCAGAAGAGCTGGAAGAGGTGGCTGTGGAAAGAGAGGTCTGGGCCTCCCTGCTCAAGCTGCTGCCCCCGCGACCCGACTTCGGAACAAGCGGAAGATAATGGATGGATGGATACTTTGAATTATGGGTAATTACATTGAATAACGGATATTTACATTGAATAAAGGGTAATTACATTGAATTATGGGTAATTACATTGAATTATGGGTATTTACATTGAATTATGGGTATTTACATTGAATTATGGGTATTTACAATGAATAATGGGTATTTACATTGAATAAAGAGTAATTACATTGAATTATGGGTATTTACATTGAATTATGGGTAATTACATTGAATTATGGGTATTTACATTGAATTATGTGTATTTACATTGAATAAAGAGTAATTACATTTAATTATGGGTATTTACATTGAATAATGGGTATTTACATTGAATAATGGGTATTTACATTGAATAATGGGTATTTACATTGAATTATGGGTATTTATAAGCAATTAGCTTGTCAATAAATTCAGTTTAGTTCAGTTTTCTCCAAGCCAAGTTCGTTCAAAGAGCTGTCTGTAACAGTTCGGTGAATAGGACGACTGAGAAAACTCCTGATTGTGGGGGTTCACCTTTGCGGTGGGGATCTGGACCATGGGGGCAGGCAGCAGACCAGAAGCAGATGGATGCATGGCTGAGGGGTGCATTGGCCTCAGACCACCCTGAAAGGAAAACACCGGAGTCAACTCACCAAAAGCACATTCACAGGTTCCTGATCTGATACCAGAGACCCATAAAGTCACAGCCAGAACATTTTTATTGAAACCTCTGACGTCCAGAACCTGCAGCTACTGAAGCTGTGAACATGAGAGGAAAACTGAAGTATTATCTTCAACACTTGAGCACATTCATCAAGGAATGGTCGAGGGAGAACTGGAATCTAAACTGGAAGAATTATGGGAACATTTGAAGCGTTTCTGTGGTAAAACCTTTAAGAGATCAGAGCCAGACATCAGAACTTTCTAAGAAAAATTCAACATCCCTCCGTTAAAGTGACAGATTAACTCTTAATTTCTCACATTTTTTAAGAATTTAACCAATTATCTATAAAGAGCTTTGAATGTTTTCCTCTTTGTTATAAAGAAATGGTTCCCAGGTGTTGTAGACAGATAAAGTGGACGTACTGCGTCGGTGAAGCCCGACTGCTGGTTGGCGTGTTCCAGCTGCTTCTGCAGCGGGATCGATGCTCCTGGGATGTATCCTGCAGCCGACACACACGCACACACACACACACACACACACACACGTAAGAGTTGAACACTTCAGACTGCGAACATTTAGGACTCTGTTAGTGGAACAGACTACTCCCGACTACCTGAGCTGTACGGCAACAACACGAGACTGACACGGGAGTGAAGAGTCCTGAGACTCTTAATGCTCAGTTCTGAGTGTATCTGATCGTTCACGTTATATTTTTAAAGAGACCTCCATCAGACTCCACTGCGAACGCTCTTGTGCAGACGATGTGACATCACACGCAGCGTTTCAGGAAGTAAATATGGATGTTACGCACGTTAGCATGGGTGAGTTTGCAGATGCTGTGTGATCAGAACCTAAATTATCCGACATGATTGTTTGGTCCAGTGTCTATTAGAGACAGACCGATATGGAAATTCTGCCCATCACCAATACAGATATTCGGAGGGGAGGCTAACGCCGATAACAGATATATTGGCTGACAATTTTTTAACTTTGTCTACCCCCCAAAAATCTAAACAGCTACTTTTAAACCCGTTTTAACGCTTGAAGTCTTGAAACAATCTTCCTAACGTGTGCTCACATTTTCTATCCTCCACTGTTCACCACAAAGTTATCAAGTATGTTACAAAAATATAAATTAAACAAAGAAATATCCTTCACTGTTCATTGTTAAACAGTCATGTATGTTAAGGTCCAATTAGTATTGACTGCAGTGTTTATTTTCGTTGCAGGGAAGTAAAGATTTCAGAAAAACAATGCATTTCAATGAAGACGACAAAGATAACATTACCAAAACTGATTTTTTTAAAATATAAATATATACATATACATATATATATACATACATACATATATATATACATATACATATATATATACATATATATATATATATACATATATATATACATATACATATATATATATATATATATATATATATA